CATTTTTGACTTTTCGCTGTTACTAACTTCAGTGAACAGGGAAGACTTCATTAGACGCTCCATATCACCTTGTTCACTTTCTTTGATAAGGTCATGCCAATCGCCAAACTGGTTGGGAAAGAAGCGAGTAAGCAGCAAAATCATTGCGATTGCACCACGCTTTTGCTCCTTGGTTGAGGAAGTTGGTTGACACCGGTAATGAATTTTCAATTGACGGCGCAAATCAGAAACGTCTAACTCGCTGACAATCATACGAAATTCATCGACTAGATTATAAATGTTAGGCTTCTTATTTTTGGTTGATATGTATATATCATGTTACCTTCTTCGAGAAAATCACCAAATAAGAAAAATGCCATATCAGCTGCAGCCGTAGTTTTCTTTTTTAAGAGATGACCTTCAGTGTGTCCCATATTCAGAAACAGACCTTCAGAAAGTCGTTTCATGAGACCTTTGTCAAGATGGGGTTGGCTACCATCTTTAATTCTGTAATCCATTACATAGCGAAGACCTTCGAGTACTTCTTCCAGAGATATGGATTTATTGTCTTGTACATTGAAAAGATCATTGACTGATAGAAAACTCTGATTAATAATCCGATAAAAACACACAAATTGATAGGAGCTTACCATATACTTCGATCTGCTGTTCGATCGAAAGCTTACCATCATTGATAGAGAATACATCAATCACCGCATGCTGGATAGATTCTATAGGAGGTTTCAGGGCCATAAAATGTAAAGAAAGATCAAATAATGTTTTTTTTTTCGAAAAAAAATAAAATAAACTTTTTGATGAATACTTCGGGTCCCTTTTATAGAAAATATTGTGCGAATTTTCCGATAATCACGTTACCCCAACTTGTTGTGTGCAGAGTAGAATATTCTGACGTACATTGTAGTTTAGGAGTGGTATCGACTATTAACATAAATGGCAATGACATTTGTTTATGGTTAGATTGTTGTTACACAAGCAGATAAACATTAACAATAAACAGATGATCCCATTTATCCGGTCCAAGAATCGTAATATTTTGTGATCGCTTGGCATCATTTATTTGGTAAGTCTACGGGTACGCAGCAAGTTTTGATTCGGAAACCAATTCTAGACTCCATCACGTTACAATAAATTCCAAAATATGCTCTTTTTTTATATATATAAAATGATGTGTTTATGACTCCATAGGTCTGGAAACAACGCCTGAAGCTAAGCGGACAACCATAACCAGACCGTCATATGTGCAACTGACAACTGCTTCTACTGGAGACGACTTGTTTCCTCCTGTTATCCAATCAAACCTTATTCTTGAAATCATATTATTTGATTTTGACAGCTCAATTTGCTTCATTACGCTTCCAGCATCTTCGGATGCAACATAGTCGTACAATGATCTTCCTATGCAGTCTAGTTGATTCAGATCTACCAACTCTTCACAAACTTTTGTGGCAAATACTATTGTAGATTGTGTGGTGTATCTGTTTAGAATCATACAGAAACGTGGCTCTTGCGTCTTATCCACTTTTTCGTTTTTTCCCCAAGGCTGTTGAAGTTCGAGTATTTTTTTTAGTCCTTCCTGTGGATCAACCCAGGCACCCTTAATATGAATTTTGCCATCGCCGTCAATTACTTGAGCATAATCAGCCGTGTTGCTTCTCATTTTGCGTTCAATTGAATGTTTTGAAGTGACTATAAAGTTCGTTGTGACTAATGTGTCATAACAGTAATGAACAACAACATCAAGCTCGACGTATGACCCGTCTTTACGAAGGGCGCGATACGCTGTCACAGAAGACATTCGTTCCTCCATGACATTTGCATTATGAATTACACCAAGTGCTGCGCGTTCATCAGGATGAGTTAATTTGTAACCATGAAATCCTCTTAATTCTTCTGGTGTATAACCCAAAATTTCAGTGACACCTTCTGATGCATATAAAACGCTTGCCGATGCTGTGTTGTCATAGATTATAATGCAGCTAATTTCCATCACCAGATCTAGAGAGAGAGGGAGAGAGAGAAAAAAAAAGATATGTTTCATTTTTTTTAAGGTTTGCGTGTAAAAAATAAGGAGTGATCCAGGTTTATTATTAAGATTACATAAGCAATGCTCTTTCTCGCAATAATCTTGCACCAACTTCTTCCCATTCTCCAGCGCCTATCCACATGTCCTTCGCTATATCTAATTTACTCATAACAGATGCTCCCTTCCATACTAATACTTCGGGATCTAACTCTCTTGGTGCAGGTAACACTTCCACGCGATCAATAAATGATCTTTGAGCTAAAACTGTTGACAGTACACTATAAAAGAGGGTTAGCTGTTTTAGCAATAATTTTTTTTTCTTTGACATAGGGCTTAGACATAAACTCACCGGTCCTCTAAAACCTTACTGAAATTAGCAATCTTTCCGCCTCCGCCGACAAGAATAATACTTGTAAAGTATCTTTTTAACTTTTCTTCTGATCCGTTTGCTGCATTTACAATTGATTGGGCAATAGCGACGTCAATAGGATATGATTCGTATTGCTTGCCATTTGACTAGTATATAAACGGTTAAAACAGCCCCATTTAGTATAGGTATGTTATTATCCTCTAACTTACCATGTCATTAGCCACAGTCCAAGACCCTTTCGTTCCCTTTTTCTTGTTGTCCAGAATATCAGGATATACTAAGCAAAGCGGTGCTAAAAACACTTCGTCGTACACTTTGCATTGGTATTTTAATGTGGGTTTAAATGGCGTACGAGCAAAGAAATCGTATACTTGAACACTAATATCTGCTTCATTCATTGTACACCATTTTTCTTTTAATTCTTCTGCCAATCTCCAATCAAATGTTGTTGACAAATCAATATTTTCATAAGGAAACTTATTTGCCAAGAGAAATGAGGCGAATGTTTTAGTAATATCGTCACCGCCAATGGAAATTGAGATTCTGGAATCCACTTGGCAAACACCATCTTCGATACATGTAATGTTCGTCTTTTGCGCACCAATATCAACCACTACGGCACTGGATACGCCTGCTCCATAAGTGGCACATGTGGATTCCTGTTGAACGATGATACCTCGAAAGTTCATATACCGTAAAAGCATTGTAACCAATTCACAGAGATACGTACGGTTAAATGTATCTGGAATGACTATCACTACATTGTAATTCTGATATAATAAAGGATGAGCACTCATGTAAACGTGTATACTGTTCATTAAATTTTACCTTGAAATCGGCTCTTTCGATTTCTAATTCGCTTATAATTGCCTCTGTCCAAATAGCTTCAATATCACCCAAGACTGCATTTAATGAGGAATAATCCTGACAGTTGAATGTTCCATATTTCCAGGGATAACGAATACGATATTGACTCCCTTTAGGAACTGGTAAATTAATAGCCTACAAAAGAAAAATCGTTAGTGGGTTTCGCCTGTCTATCTATCTCTTTTTTTTTTTTTTTTTTTTTTTTTTTTTGATGAGGGGGTTGTAAATATGGTACCTTTTCTCCAACAAAATAATCAACGCCATCCTTTGTTGCCTCTGTCCATTCTACCTTGTAAGGATCATTATGATCAAGTATAGTCTCTTTAAATGCGGTTGTATTAAACCCGATAACCTGTCCTTCAGCGTTGGGAACTGCTCTACGTTTTGCATTCTTCATTCTCCACTTAAGTTCGCTCTTTATTTCATTTAAAGCTTCTTGGTGTTTCTCCTCTTCCTCTTCTGTGGTTGTGTCCATGTCACTTTCAGTGGTATCGTTGGGGAATTCGGTCTTAAAACGTCTAGCAATGACATGAGGCACACATTTGGGAAAAGCTTCAGAAGCAAAACCTAATCTTAAATTGCGTGATCCTGGGTGAATAATAATCGTGTCTCTCCATTCTTCCTCTGGCTAAAAAAATATATAAAATAAAATACATTGAAAGAATCTTAGTATGCAGAAGCTAGCGATCTTTGGGGAATTGTCAAAAAAAAAAAAAAAAAAAACTTACATCAGGCGAAATCTCTTCAGCGCCTGCTTTATTACCGGGAAAATAAGTGGTGTCATTTCTTGCAAAGGTACTAGTGATATTACGTGTTGGAAGAATATTGTAACCCTTGACTGGGAAGGTTGTATATTTGAAATGAGGTTGTGGTTTTCTAGGTACGGTATTTTCGACAGGTTTATTGACAATGTTTTCCGTAATTGGGGTCTCGACTTTCATCTCTTGCACGTTGTTAATATTATTTTGGACATTGGGTAATGTTTCTTGAATCATGTTATTAGATGGAGGAGATTTGATATGTTTTTGTTTTTTAGGAATATAAGGAGAAACAATTTCAGGTTCTGGAGTCAACTTTTGCTTTTTGGTCTTTTTTGGTGAGGAATGCTGCTGTTGCTGCTGCTGTTGTTGACGCGGAGAAGCTTCAGCGCTCACCTTTTGCTCGCTTGTATTATTAGGTTTATTAACTGGGAAAGGAGGGGTGGTGATAGAGCTCGCTTCCTCCATCCACGCGTACTTCTTTTGTGACAGGTTCTTAAGAAAAGTGTTGCTATGTGGACTGTTGTTATTGTTATCAGCCATATTGATTTATGAAGGTGTGAAGGGAAAAAAACCTTTTTTGTTTTCATTTTGAAAATAGATATTTTCAGAAAAAAAAAAAAGGTTTGAATCTGGGTTTGTAAATGTGTTTGGGCAGTCAAAGTCTTTTTAAATCAGCTGGGACAAAGGCTTCCTAACGAAAAAAGAAAGTGTCTTTTTTTTAAATTAAGTATCATGCATGATTCTTATTTTATATGTGTAGAAATTCTGATCATTATACTTGCTAGTCTGTTTTAAAAGTTGGCATATGTAACCAGCACATATGTTTTGTCGCATCAATTAAAACAATAAGCACCTTACTCAGAATTAATGCTACATTGCAATAATTTTTTTAGACTTTAGGTTAACTTAAGTTGATTTATATAATTTATAGTGGATTTTGAAATATGTATTTGATCTATCATGTCTTTTAATATTGAATTTATAAGGCGCATAAAATGATATATAATTTATGGGGCATTTGTAAAAATCGAGATACGCTCAACCTACATAACAGTTTATTTTTTCTTAAATAATTTATGCTTATTATTTGTGTTTCTCCCTCCAATAATCCAACGCCGTTTAGTTTCCTAACGTGCACTCCAATGATCGGGAACTGTTCTTTCCGATAGTCCCATAGCTACATAAACTAAAAATAATTGTAGTAAATTTCTAATAGTGATATTTACCAGGATGGACAATTTTACTTAAATTTATGTATGCTAGAACAATCAGGTCTGTTTATTTTTGAACGCTCGATTAATTTAGACATGTTCCACATAAATTTCAGAACAGGTATAACTGCTTTAATATACTTGTAAAAGTGATATTTCCTCTCGTAAGTGTAGACATAATGTTGTTAACCGTTGCCATTTTACCTAAACGTAAAGAGTTTGTATTTCGTGACAGAAAGCTCGTATAAGAACCTTTGCCCCAAAAAACTACGCTAATTATGCATTGGCAAATCAGGCTCAGGATCTGCATCATAGACGTCTGCGAAAAATTATTGTATACTTATCTATTATAGAACCGACTAGAAAGTATATATCTATAAAGGAACTTGTGTTTCTTTTTTCTTTTAGTTGGAAATTTTTTTTGAGAAAGAACCTATGTTCGCATTCTGACACAGGCCATATTTTTGTTTTCAAATTTCTTTGGCCTTGAACTTTCCTTTTTTATTTTAATATGTAGTGTTATGTTCAAACTTATCTTTAATCTATAAAGGAGAAAAAGGAACCTTTCGGATGATGGTTCAAAACTCCATCCAATGAATTATGTATGCGTACTTTTAAAACAATGAGATTTAAGCTGGGTCCCAGCTTTATGTGATCTTTGTTTTTTTTTTAAATAAAAAATCAAGTGGGCCACATGTTTTGAAAACTCGAATAGGTGGTGATATGAACCTGATAATAAGTTCTTCCTACGAAAATACTCAGACAAGACTGAAAATACTTGTTCCAGATGTCCGTAGATATAATGGTCAAAGTTGGCTATAGGAACACCTGCTTAAGTATATATCGAAAAGAATTGTTCTCCCTCACACACCATTATAAGTGATATACATTCTGTTAATGTTTTCGTATTGCTAAATAGAAAAACCACCACCTAAAGACTTAAACGCTAAAGATGGCTAAGTCTAAAGAAAGAATAAGCTGGCAGAAAGCAAAAAGCGGGCGATTTTTATTAAAGAAGACCTTACCCTGTATTACATTGCTGTTGAGGCCCGAGTGCCAATGTTAAAAAGAGTTTCTAAATATTTTAGACGCATATGACTAATGTTCATAGTTACATCTACGCGCACTACAAATCACAAAATTTATAAAAAATGATTCCGATCTACCAGAGTCGAACTAGTGACCTAGAGATGACAATATACACTACAGTCTCCCGCTCTACCAACTGAGCTAAGATCGGTATTTGATGAAAATGTAACTTTTATATAATATATATACCCATAAAATTAAAGAAATATTACGTAATCAAATCACGTGATAGTCACGTTTGAGGTCGCTGATTGGTTTATCGGGCGATTAATGCGTCCTTTTTCATGCAAACAAACTTTATTTTTTAAATTTATGCGTTTTTCTTTTCTACGAAAAGAGGTTAATGAATTGAGATCCCTTAGTATTAATTTCATATTTAAGGATTGAGAGGGGGTGATGGTATTTATGTTTCAGAAACTCAACATATAAAACACATTGTTTTGTTTATAGGAAGATAGAACCTGCCTTAAATATGTCCCAGGCTGAATAGGAATCATCATTTTCACTTTTTATACAAACATAACTCGGAACTGATTATTATGGTATTGGTTTGATTGTACATAGGGTTGTATGTAAGAAAAAAAAAAAGAAATATTACTTGTAAACAATATCGTGCTTGTATAATGCTGTAAAAAAAAAAAGTGTATCAATTTACATGTTATGACGAGATTACTTATAAAGGAACAACTGGGTTCATTCAGCGTTCATGGTAGATTCTCTTTACCTTAATAAATCAGAATTTGACTATTTCAGAGCAGTAGAACAGATAAGTTCATTGATGAGCATTTATGCGCAGGTATACTTTTTGATGCCATGTTCCGTCAAGGTAATGTCACACTGCAGTGTCGGAATAAGGGACCAGACTGTTTACTATTTAGATATCAAAACCGAAAAAAAGCGTACCACATATATTGGGATACCTCACTGAACAACTACGTAGGAATTTTAATACCATGTTACACGTACTTATTGGCGCGGGTAGCTTCCCTTTACTTTTTAAAAAACATGGAGATATAAGTCAAAGGGAAGGATGTGGCTGTTTCTTAAAACATGCGTGCGGAGACCCAAAAAAGCCAAAAAGGTGGTAAAAAAAAAAAAAAAAAAAAAGGGTCGCTTTCCGTTCCCTCCATATATTTTTAATTTTTTATTCCGTTTTTATACCAAAAAATATATATACCACAATGACAGCGGTCGAAGGGATTGCTTGGACAGTCTATGGTATAATTGCACTTGTAATGTATGGGGAGGTGGCTGGGGGGGGGGAGGGTAAAAGGGATGATAAAGGGGTGTGTGTGTGTGTGTGAAGAGATAACTGATAAAATAAAAAATAGACGTCATTTTTTCTGAGTGTGCTATTTACGAGATACTTTCAAAACAAGTATGAAACCGAGTTTTTCGCAACGGTTGTTACCATCTTGGCCTTGGGACTTGTGTTCTCAACGCTTTGTTTATTACCGGTGGATATTTTTTTAGTTTCGAGTACGGTGGATGTGAGCAAGGGAATTAAAAAAGAGTGGGCAACAGAACAAGTCATTCAACGCATGACTTTTACCATGAGCATAGTGTATTACGGTAAGAAAAAAAGAAGGGGTGATTGGTGGTTATATCAGGGCCTCTCTCTCTTATTTTTTAATTTGTTGTCTAAAAAAGAACCCCCACGTTTTTATATTATGTAGTGTGTTATGGGTTAATCACCGTATTTAGCTTTATTTTGATCCCTTTTGCATACTTTTTTTATGAAGAATTTGGCGAAGATCAATCCAACAAGGATAGAATATTTGGTGCTTTAAAGTATACCTCCTTTTTCATCGTAATATCCGTCTTGTTGTCTATTTTTGGCCTGTTTCTTAAACCTACAACAAAAACGCCAAAGATTGATTTGGATTGGTTCAGAAAGCTTTTAACTGATAGTAGTAAGTAAAATTAATCTTTTTGGCTATTTATCTGCTGATCCACCAAAATTAATTAGATGGTGAAAAGGCAATTACCTTTGTCATTGCTTGCCTCATCTTGCTTGGGATGCTTGTTTTCATTGGCTACACGGTAATGATTTATTGTAATATCATGTAAGTGATCTCATTGTTTTTCTTTTTTTTTTTTTTCATATGACTAGGCGCCTGGATTATCCTTGTTACCGATCAGTTTAATTAAAGGACGCAAAGGCATTGACGCAGAGCAAGAAGATGTAGAGAATCGAGTGGCAGCGAATAAAGAGAGACAGCGTGTAATTCGGTCTAGATATATTGGACGCAACATGCCTAAAACAGAAGCTGATGTACTAGATTCATTGGAGGATGAAGAAAGGTAAGGGTTGTTTGTATGTGTGTGTGTAGGATGTATTGGCTGATCCTTTTTTTTTTCTGTTGTATATATATATATATATAGAGTTTTATCTAGAAGACTTAGAGCTATTCTAGTAGATAAAACAAGCCTTTCTACCAAGATCATCATGTACCTGCGACCCTTTGAAGTAAGTGGGATGGGAATAAAAAATGTATAAACAAGACTCCCTAAAAAAAAACTAGTTTTTACTTGGCATGATTTTGTTATGCGTTACCTTGGTTTTGGTGGTGTCCATCTTTTTAACAATGTAAGTAAGCGACAGAAGGAAAGAAAATAAACTCATTAGATTACATATGATGATAGAATAGACAAGATTGCATCTTCTTTATGTGGAAGCCAATGTGGCTATGTTATCAACCACCCTAATTTATTCAACCCGATTAATTACATATTTGTCAAGGTGTCTACAATTTTCCCACTGGATTACATTTTTATGGTCGGTTTGATTTTATACTTTTTCTTGGCTACGATGTCAGGTGTCATATACATTGGAATCCGATTCTTGTGGATTACATTGTTTAAAATTCGAAAGGGTGCTACTGCACCACAAGGGTTACTTGTAACTGCATTATTATTAACCTTGAGTTTATTAGCCTTGAACTATACTATGACTACGACAGTAGCACCAGGTTATACTCATTTCGGAAGTCAAGTCTACGTAAGGGGATTTATATTTGATATTATGAAACTTTAATTAATTCTAAGTAGTGTAATCAAACACTTGTCAATGGACATCGTGACTGTACGGATCATAACGAGTTGATTGTACGATGTGACGTGTTTGGACCGACAGGTAAATAAACAAATGTATATATATATATATACATACAAACAATGGGGGTTGCGATATATTTATAAATAGAATGTGATTAGACATTTGTACGCCTACAGTATCATCTACGATGATTGATAGGATTATTGTCAATACACCATTTTTTGGGATTTTCTTTTATTATTCACAATGGGTATTCTTGGTTGTGTTTCTGATTGGATTTGTCATTGCATTATTTAAGAGACCCCGAAACAATGTGGATGCAGATCTGCAAGAGCTCGTGGATGATGAAGAAGAGGAAGAGTTGTTGGATAGAAGAAGAAATAGTCACCGTAATAGTATTGGGACTGGTAGCGGTAGTGGCTATTACCAAACCCTAACATGAGATGCACGCTTTGATTTGACTAATTGAATAAATTACTCCCTTATAAATCCTCCCCCTTCTTTTTGTGAGTTTTCATTGTAAATATTACTGTTTATAGTGTAGAGTCAACGACAGAATTTTTTTTTTTTTTTTCTTCTTGTTTGGCTAAACTACCTTGATGGTGACACAGGCGAATATAATGAAAAATGCATGAATGCAACAAGGGAAATTGTCATTTAAAGCAATTGACAATATGTTTTTAACAAGTAAAAAGCCAACAAATTTTTTTTTTTTTTTTTTTTTTTTTTAATCATGCCCTAAAAAACTTTACGTCGATCTAAATATATATAAAACACATGAAGAAGTGAGAAAAGGTCAAAACATCGAGGCCAGTAAAAAAAAGACTTGTCATTTTAACATTGACCTCCCCTCAAAGGCAACCCCTTTTTATTATTATTATTATTATTATTATTATTTTTGTAAAAAAGAGATTCTTTGTACGATTCATTTCTTTGTCTCTCTCTTTATCTTTTGTGAAACATAAGAGAGAATTCAATGCAAAGAAGATTCTTTTGGTTGAATTCTAATTTACTGTTGTCCTAAGTAAAAGAAATTACCATTCTGTTGTTTACTCGGATGAAAAGAAGGAGGGGAGAAAGTAAAAAAAGAATATCTGTTTATGGGTGAGTGTTACACTAGACTATAAAAAGAGGGGCATTGCTTCTCTCTTGCAAGACAATCAAGGGGGGGACTTTTTTTGATCCCTTTCATTAACTTTATTACATGGCTTGAAGTAAACAATATCCGGATCATCTCGATTGACATGTAAAAAAAAGAACGTTTCTGTTTATTTATATTTTTTTTTTTTTCAGTAAAAATATATATAAACAGCTTTTTTATTCTCTCTTTATTTCCCTTCTCTCTTCAACCCCCCAACTGTCTTTTATTTTCAACGCTTTAATTTTTTTATTTTTATTTTTTTTTATTTATTAAAAGAAAAAAAAAAAAAAAAAAAAAAAAGTCCCAATCACTCTCCCTCTTAATTTACACTCACTTTTAACAAACCCTTTTCTTTTTTGAAATTATTTTAAACTTTTCGATAAAGATTTAAATCATCAAAGCCAAATTCATCTTTTTTTATCTTTCTCTCTTTCTCTCTCTCTCTCTGGTAAGCACTTTTACTTCTTATTTTTAATATTTATTAACACCTCTGGTAGAAATGTATTCCAACAACTATCAACCCACCTTTGATTTAACCTCCCATTTGTCTCCCTCGGACCTTGAGTTTGACCGCTGCTTAAACACCAATTATCAACAGCAACGCAGTGACAGTATCGATTACAGTCGTCGCCCAAGCTATTTTACTGGTCTCTTAAGCAACAATAATAATAATAATAATAATAGCAGTGAAGCCAGCTATTCTGATGGAGAGCAACAAACACCCAGTCCATTCAATAGTTATGAAGATTATCAATATCATCATCCACTTGATAACAGCAACAATAAGCGTCGTCTTAGTACATTAGTCGAATTACCTCATCTTAGTTATTCTCAACAAGCTTCTATGACTTATCATCATGGTGGTTGGATTGGTCAACATAATGTCGCCACTTCTTCTTCTGGTACGAATAGTCCTCAACGCTGTAATTCATCACCCATGATTTATGCTAATCCTGCTGTGGATATGTATTCTCCTCAAACCTATTTAACCTATAACCATCACTCTGGTTACCCACTTGTAGACAATGTCATGATGACTTCTCTTCCTTCCACTACTACTACTACTACTACTGCTGCTGTTACTGCTGATGGTATCTATCGTGAAAGAGCCTCCTCTTCCTCGTCCTCCTCAAGTGATAGTGCCTTGTCTGTGAGTCCTCCCCCCAGCAGCCGTCGTACCAGTAAAGTCAATCTCAAGTCCCCTTTAAAACCCACACGCTCACGTGGTCGTAGAGTATCTAATAGTCCCAGTATTGCAGGTCAAAAAGTGTTTACTTGTAAGCAAGATGATTGCGGGAAAGTATTTAAAAGATCCGAGCATTTAAAACGTCATGTCCGTTCTATTCACACTTTGGAAAAGCGTAAGTTATATTCATTGGTTACTATAATGTGGTAAATAACACTTTTTTTATAATTTAGCCTTTGAATGTCCTTATCACTCATGCTCAAAACGATTCTCTCGTTCTGATAACCTGAACCAACACATTCGTATCCATCGTCATACAGGCAAAGACAAAAATAATAATAGTAGTTCAACCGCTAGTTCCACTACTGCTGCAGTTAGAAATAATTCATTCAGTAACAACTATATGCCCACCTATTAACTTTTTTCTTCTCTTCCCCCCCCCCATTTACTTTCTATTTTATTACTATTATTTTTTTTTCTCTTGCGTTTTATATAAGTCTTTTTGCATTTTTATTATACCTCTTTTTTTTCTCTTTCTTTAAATACTCTTATTGCATGCGTTTTTTTTTTTTTTATTTTACACACACACACACACACACAAACACACACACTTTTTATATGGCCCTTTTTTTTTTTTTTTTTTTTTTTTTTCTTATGAAATCTTTTTTTGTTTTGCATAAAAATAATATAAATTTCATTTCAAAAAAAGGCACGGTCCGTCGCCTGTAATGGGAAATTCGGGGGGTAAGGTAACCCAAGTATTTGTGTTACTGATCATCATGGGTACCTTTTTTTTTTTTGAGTGTCATGGGGTTCTATTTTAAAAAACCAAATCCAAGTTATAACCGTAATTCGAGAACATAAAATTTAATTCTAAACAAAATGCAGTTCAATTATACACCCCTTGAATTATATATTCGTAATCAAATAAACTTTTAAAAAAAGTGATTATAAAATTATAAAAATACATGATTATTTTGCATGATGGAGGATCTAGACAATGTAATTTATTCACATGAAAAAGAGTGTATATAGATATATCTCGTAGATCACCGCGTATGACGACGATTATTCAAATAAAGAGAGAGAGAGATGAGGCACACAACTATTTATGAGTGACGTGACTCAAAAAGAGGGAATCACGGATTCAGTATCATGGGGTCTCTCTTTCTTTCAAAAAAATAATAGTTCGAGATTCTCTACTTTTATAAAAATAGGGCTCGTGCGTTACGTGGCACTTCCTACATGTTCTCGGCTCTCTCTCTTTCTCTCTCACATTTTTACTCACTGTATCCGGAACAGCCATTTAGAGCGACTGGGAGAAAAAAAAAAAAAATAAGGCTTGAGTAACATGGAATATAAATAGATGAGAAAAGTACAAAATGTAATCTCTCTCTCTCTCTCTCTTTTCTTCTTCTCTTCTTTCCTTCTCACTAAAAAAAAACATGTCTCAAGACGGTAACAATTATCATTCCAACTTTCAAACTTCGCCATTTGAGTCGAGTGGATTGTATCATACTGATATGCAGATGCAATTTGCTGCCAGTGTGCCTCACCGCCCAACTACCACATCCAACATGAATTTCTCACAAGCCCCATTTGCTCATCAAGATGTCATGATGCCACCGCTTTCATCCCAATGTAAGTGACCAGAAAGAAAAAAATCCAAAAAAAAAATAAAAAAAAAATTTAACACTCCACAGTTTCCCTAAATTACCCAACAAGTCCGTACGAAAGGTCAGACGCATCAGCTTCTTGTACAACAAACATGGCAGGGAAGCAAGTCCAATCCAAGGCTGAGCGCCGAGCTGAACACAATGCCATTGAGAGAGCCCGACGTGAGAGTCTGAATGTGAAATTTCAACAATTAGCCTTTACTTTACCCAACCTGCAGAATGACAGCAGACCTTCCAAAAGCACCATCATTGACCGCACACTGGATTTCGTCAAGGGCGCTATCCTAAAAGAAGAACGCATGAATTATAGAATCAAGGAATTGGAGAAATTCAGTCGTTACTTACTGTCCGAATTAGACAAGAAATCTGCTGAATCCCCTGCCGTGAATTCACCACCTCTATCCAGTACACTGCAAGAAAAGACAACACCTCCTCCCTCCTTGTGTCAGAGTGACATGATCATGAAACAACAACAGCAAACGCAAACACAGCAACCGCAACCACAGCAACAGTCCATACAGCAACAGCAACAGTCCATACAGCAACAGCAACAGACACAGCCACAACAACCACAATTACAACAACCACAATTACAACAACCACAATTACAACAACCACAATTACAACAGGAACGTCGTCCCGTGTCACGTTTATCGGTGCCTACTGTCCCGAAGTCAGAATTTACTAACTGGCCTACCACCAACACAAACGGGCAATTTATGAACCCAACAACAACCACTAATAATACTGATTTATTTCAACATCCACAACCTATTCTTTTCCAAAAATTTGACCATCAAAGACCCGTCATGATGAATGATTACGATTCAAATTATATGATGAATTATATGGAACCAAATCATGTCATACCTAGACGCTAAATATACTCTTTATCTTTCCTCTCTTTCTATTATGCCCCCCCTCTCCATCTTTTCCTTCTCTTCTTGCTGTATATACTCTATTCTATCTTCCCCTCTCTCTTCAACACACACATTAACTTATTTCCCTCTCTCGTTCTAATTTATGACTTGCATTTTGAATAAAATCATCAAAAAAATATATAATCACTGTTCATCTTAAATTTTAGCCGTGTTCTGATAAAAAAATTTGTTGTGTGTTAGCCGAGGTTCCAATCATCTTTTATAGATCAACTACTGAAAAATAATTAATTTGAGTACACCACCCAAAAAAAAAAAAAAAAAAAAAAAAACTTAATATTGTTCTCTTGGAGGAATCAGATGACATTTTAAATAAGAAGACACATCATAGTGTACTTTAATAAGACTATTACACCCACACAAAAACTTCACATGTATACATGCGTGTGAGAGAAAACTGGAGATGGAATCTGCTCCTATTACTCATGTATAAATGACTATCTTTTTTTTTTTTTTTTCTAGACGAGTCTGCAGAAACTTCATTCGGATATACTATCCGCAAATCTGTTGTCATGTAGTATACTAAAGAAAGGGGGAACAGTTACATCAATGTCATTTGCAATAACCACGTTTTTTTGCTTTCTTTCAAGTAAGTATTACAAATTGGACAGGGGAATTCTGTGTCATTTTTGTTGTTTTTTTTTGGGGGTGGAATGACAGGATGATTAAGGGACCATACGAGTTTTTTTTTTTGTAAGACAAAAAGAGGAGCATCTTAACACAGGTTTAGTCTTGAAAGTAACCGTAATTAGTATTTACAATAATAATAAAAAAAAAAAACTATATTCTAACGATCTTGAGTATGTATTGTAAGGGTTTAGATAAACAGAAAGAATTCTATTAAATATAAAATCAACGTGTGCGTCATAATTCAATCATTACAAAAAAAAAAAAAAGGTAGACATTAGTCTTGGATGTACTAGTTTATACAAACACTTATTATAGTACGTACATTCTAACTCACACTTATTTTAATTCCAAGAACAGAAATGTTATTGATGATTGTCCAGGAAAGTAAATATATCTCCTCTGTTTGCCAGGCAAAATGATTATAACAAACATTTATTTTTTATATATATTTCTGTTCAGATGACTTTTATTGACACTGTACCACAATTCTTATTTTGATCGGGAGATACAAAATAGCTGTACAACAAAAACAAAGTTCGGATTCTTCCGTTTGTCTTTTTTACCTTATTTCTCGGCTCGGCGGCTTTTATCTTTTTTCAAAAAAAATAAAAAATGAGGGGACCCCGTCATATATTTCAACAAGAAAGTGCTACGCATTTCATACCAGCTGATTTTTTCTCTGTTCTACAATCATCTTGATTGACTCATAGATATGCAAAAGCCTTCTCGTTCAGAAATAATGACCAGCGTCATCTGAGCAGGAGAGATCTTTGTCCTATCTGTGCCCAACTGTATACTACGGGATGAACATGTTTATATCAGTAAAACTTGTGGAAATAGCTTTCATAAGGAAGACTGGGGGGGGGGGGTGCGTACAATTACACAGTGCGGCTGGTGGATTTTTTGTTTGGTTCTGAAATACCTAAATGGCGTCATCTGCATTTAGTGGCTTCTATAAGTTCGGATTAGTATTTATATTACATTTATCAACCTAAACAGATCATTAAAAGCACGTTGCCCTGATGTAAAAGAGATACCGATAGTTTTACAAAAAGATGATACATCGAAGATGTAGACATTGTCGTTTATTATCACTACCAATTATTATGTTTTTGTATTTATAGAGTACAATGAGCTTACATCTAACCTGAGCAAGGATTATTACCACAGCTTGTTGATAGAGACGACTAAGATCAAACTGCGCATCAAATCAACGATGCATTGAAAACCTTAAGAAAAAAATTAAATTTAAATCGTTCACTTGTACCATTTGCTCGTGATTTCAAACAGAATTCTATAGTAGTCCCGGTTAAAAAAAAAAAAATTGGTTTGACGATGCAATTGAGTTGGACTTATCATTTAAACATGTCCAAGATCTCCTACTAATATCCAGTATGCCTGCAAATCTTTTACAACAAAAAGGTTAAAAAAGTCGAATCACGGAATGCAAAGTTAGTAATTACTTGTTTCATAGGAACATTTTATGTTTATTGAAGAAAGCCAAGTGTATCCTTTTAAAATACAACCTTCTTCTCTCATGATTTGGAAATAATGAGATAAGCCCCACAAACAGAATTAGGATAGAATGTGCCCTTTTTTTTTTTTTTTTTTTTTTTTTTTTTTTTTTTTGACTATTGATTCTCTGTATGATGCCATTTATCATATGCGATGTGTCATCTATGTAGTAGTTGCAGCAAAGGTGCAATAATGACCTTGGCATACACCTTAATTATGTAAAGAGAGATGATTTTCTCAAAAATTCAACTTGTTATATGAGGTTCAAACAGTTCATAACAAAATCTAAACACCTTTTGCTAACCAAAATCTTCAATCTGTAATTATAAGTTTACCCATTTACACGATTTTATACGTCAGGTTCTTTTTTTTACACGCCAACGCTTGTGACATAATTTATAGATACACCAGTACAGATTACGCGATTTTTATGTGAAAAACTAGACGTCTGACACTGTCTGATTTTAAACAACTAAAAAGACAAAAAAATAAATTCCAAAAACGACAGGCAACACCGCACTGTGTATGCATAAGAATATGTCACTCAACTTTTTATTTATCATAACAAAGATTTTAAAAAAAAAAAAAAGTCTCACACTACTCTTGTGTGCTGAGCCATTATAATAACAAGATGTAAACAAAAAGACGCGGTGCGCAAATATCTTTCTCATCTGATGCCTACATCATTTCAATTTTTCCCAAAGAGCCTCCTTTTTTTGGGGGGGGGGCTCTTTGGGCTGAAAGAGAGCTAGCGAATAGAATAGAGAGATACACCAAATCTCGATTTAAAATAAGTTTTGATGCAGTAGTAAAATTAAAGTCCCGCTCAATTAAGTAGCACAACAGTTTTGAATCCAGGTACCAGCATACAATTCATCCTCCTTGTTAATAAAAAGACAATGTAAACAGAGAGTATGAGTCGGATTTAAATGTACCAAAAATAGTAAGATCACAAGTTGCGGAAGCGGTATCTTCAAAAAAAAAAAGAGTTACCCAGACAGCATTTACTGTCATGAATTACAAATAAAAATAAAAAAAAAAAAATGACATGACCTTTTTGTGTGTGTGTACATTTGGATTTTACTTCAACTTAAAAATCCTCAAAGCGTAATTTTATGAATTACACGCAGCCTTTTATTTTTTTTTTCCTTTCATAGATTCTATTTGTTTTAAAAGGCAGCCCTATTCTCGGAGTACACAATTACAATTCATTCTTAGAATGATTAAACTTTGCATAATTTGGGGTATAAGAATTTATAACATGGGACAACAGTAGTGTTTAGTAGTAGTGATGATAGGGTGTCATGATGCATAAAAAGACGGGTATACATTTAGCCACATACCCCCCAGAAGACATAGAATGGCATCTCCTCTTACATCTGAGCTGAGCTATTCTCTATTGAGTATGTGCTGCGGTGATTTAAGTGATCTCATTACGCCTTTTTAGACAGGGTAAAATTTTAGGTTGGTTAGATAGTAGCCCTGAGATCATGTTGCATAGTGATGAGAAATTGTGACCTTCCTTCTTACAAATGCTGTGTTAAAGCATCCTGTTATTCCCTTACTTTTTGTAATACAATGTCTTCTTGAAGGTTGAAAAAAAAGAGTTAAAAAAAAATTGAACATTGGAATATGCATGTAGTTATAACCACACGCCAGTTAATTTTTTATTACAATAAAAAAAGAACCTCTTTTAATAAATATTTTATTCCCTTTTAGGCGGTTCTCAAGATAAGATGTACACCACTATCAGTCCAGACAGGTTTACTCAATTCACCAACTTGCAAAGCAAATGTAGCATCTTCAAAGGGTTTTTGCATCTGACCTCTTTCGAAATAACCGAGATCACCTCCACGTTTTGCACTTGAACAGTCTGAGAAATGAGTGGCGAGAGCGGATAAGGTTTCCTGTCCGGCTTCAATTTTACGTTGATATTCTTGCAAGATGGCCAATGCTTCGTCCTTGGTACGTGTGATGTTTTCCTCTCGCCATGAACTAGGTCTGCGCGAATCGCGTGTCTTGACCAGTAAATGACTGGCTCTCACTCGATCTGTCATGACGGGATCTTCTGCTCCTCCGCTGCCTCCTCCTCCTCCTCCTCCTCCTGACACGGGTGCTTCCCACCGCGATTCTTTACTTACCGTATTAAAGTAATAATCCTTGTTGTATGTACGGGAATGACGGACAACCCAATTCTCTGGCAAATCCTATTATGAATTGAGAGGCGGGGGAGAATTAATTTTTATTTTTTTTCATGCTCTTTCTATCATAAAGGATATAACACGCGTTTATATACTACTCCCCCATCGATCGATCCTTACCATGTTTTTTTTTAAAATAAAAGTACTGTTTTTTTGGCTATATTGTCTACATTAATGACCATTGTAACCTTCCCGAGTTTGTTAATTTACACTACTTACAAAAGAGAAAGAGAGAAAAAAAAAAGGATCCTTTAACAAAAGCAATAAAAAAAAAAAGAGAAGCAACGAATAAAAAATAAATAAAAAATACAGCTATTTTTTTTTTTTTTTTTTTCAAAAAACTAAACTACGTCATCAGAAAGAAATACTTTTAATCATCAAAAAACGAATCCAATACCACGTTATCCATGGTGCCACGCGTGGAAGCTCTGGATCGATTAGGCGTTGGCTTTTTGATTGGGTCGGTAAAGACATCCTCGGTTAGCATGAGTAGACTGAGTTCTTTCGAGAGTTGCCCATCCTCTGAGGCGCGTGGCGTACTTGGTTGGCTGGTATCTGGATCATCAAATAAGATGGGTTGCCGTGGTGGTAAAATCAAAGTATCTGCTACAATAGAACTACGCGATGCACCGGATTTTTGGGCTCGGTTTCCATCCTTGGTGAAAATCACGGGATATTGTGTCAGTAAGTCACGTACCAATCTTTTGGGATGTCGGTCATGGCTATGGATGGGTAAAGACGTGCGCGGTCGTAGTAAAATGTAGGAAAATGTGGAGATCAATCCGTTTAGCAGCTTTTCATCTTTCTGTTGTTTCAAGATTTTAAACAAGTGATGAGAAAGTGCCTTCAATGTATGATAGTTTGCAGATGGGAGTGTGGCTAATAGTTTACTGAGAGACACAAGACGTCCAGCCGTATCTTGCTGTGCATACAAGAGTTTGACAGGATCATATAGATCAAATGTTAATAAACACTCTGGTAATTCCAATAGATAGACACGGATCAAGTTTGCTAAAACATGCATATCATATCCTTCCAGGGCCGTCTTTAATTGACTGCCTACAAGTCCATCCAATTTTTCACAAATGAGATTGATCTCCTTGACTGGCATGATATCTAACCAGATACTTTCATCACCTTTGTCTGTTATGAGACCTGCATCAATAAGCTGAATCCCTTTATGGACGATAGGAGGCACGTATGAGCCGTAGATTTGTGCCACTTCTTCTAAAGGTACACCAAAGATTTGATTGGTAGCCGAACCGTGATAGTAGTTTTCATAAATCATGGGTTTAGGACAAAATGGACCTGTACTATACTGTTCAACAATGTAATGGATATCTTGTTCTGCTTTTAGCGTCTCTTGAAATAATGTGATTCGATTATAGGTTTCCTTGAACATGGGTAATGTATTTGATAAAGCGCTTGCCATCGTTATAAACGCTGTTTTCCCGAGAGGAACAAAAAGAAAAGGGTTTAGTAACATTGTCAGCATAGGCCAATTTTTTTTTTCAATGATATATGCGCTTACCATGCTTGATTTTTTCGATACGTTCTTTTTCTAATGCTTCCATATCATTAAAATGAGCTACTAAAGTCTCCTCTAGAGATCTTCGCATACGATCCACTGCCTTGATCTTATTTTGATAGACGGTATCTGCTTCCTTCATTTCGACATGAGCCTTTGTAGTAGAATCCATCTTCATACGACCCAAGATGTTTCCCAGAACACCTACAGGACCATTATTTGAAGAAGAAGGTACTTCCAATAGGGTATGTTCTGTATTGTCCTGCTCATGAGGAACTTCTTCTGTATGTCTAATTCGTGTCTTTCGTTTATACCTTTCCACGACATTCTGTTGTATCTCGTAGTCACGATCAAAGGCGAACCCGGCGGTTTCCTTGGGGACGGATCTTAGAAATTTAAGAGCGACTAAATGTTGACAGATCTCGAGAGTTTCTGAATCCAAGGTGAGATCTAGCTGATTGAGTTGTATACTGGTAGGTGGCGAAGTCATGTAATCACGTACCCATTCAAAGATATGTTTCCCCAGGAATTTCCTTGATTGTTGATGATTGGCGGTACTTTCAATCATTTTTTGCATACGAGACATGGATCTTGCTACTTCTCTGTAGGTCAAGACGGTACATTGACCTAATCGCACTCCACCGGTATCGACATTGAGCTCAGAGGTAACGGAACTGGAACGTTTTCTTGCGCCTACAAAATCATCATCTTCCTCCTCTTGTTCTTCAAAGCCTGCGGGTACGGGAGGTCTGTAATCGGGACAGACGAGTTCCAGGGCACGGCACCTGGACCAATAAACGGAGCGTGTGAGTAAAGCAGATTGGGCGGTATGTTGAAATTCAGAGATGGCGTTATCGAGGGAGGCTCTGGATTGATTTAGTTGAGCTTGAAAGGAGCGAGTGAAGTTTTGAAGGGGTTCTAGCACATCTTGAGCGAGTAGACCAGCACGGATATGGTGACAGTGAGAGGACTCGGAGGACTCTGAACGTACCATCTCAAACGCACTGTTTAGGCTAGTATTCATTATTATCAGCGGGTCTAGTGTTGTATTACCCGCGAGGAGTTGTGCACATTGGTTTTCCGTGTTGATACGTGCTTGTAAATAGTGTGCTATCGTTTCATTCTCGAGAACGGATTTAGAAAGTCTGTCATGGAGCACGTGTAGGCCATGACTATAGTTGGGAATCGGATCATTGGAAGGGCTCCAGAAAGAATTACTGAAATGGTCAGTCATTGTTTATAAACAAGTTGGAGAAAAGAAAGAAGGGATTATGCCTCGGGTTTAATTTTTTTTTTTTTTAGGTGGGGGAGAACGCCTTTTTTATTTTTATTTTTTACTTTTTAGCAGTAAAAAATTTAGTATGTAAGCTATCACTATTTTTTTTCCCACTACATCATGGTATTTTATGCAACGGTCTTTTTTTTATTTTTGTCTCGTATCACTGTTACATCGTTAGTGATTTATAGATTTTGTGCGTTGTGGATACAAGAAAAAAAAGAAAAAGAAAGCAGCGTGAAAACGCATTACATCATTGGAGCACTAGACCCAAATTTTATGCGTGTAAGCGTGTACAGAGGACCCGAAAGACAGATTTGTTTCTCATGTACAGTTTATATGATTTGTTTTATTACGTTTTCTTTCTCTAATGTTTGCTATTTTGTAATAAACCCGCAATACGAGCCATTAAATCCGTATGTTCAGGGTTAGGTGTGATATTATCCTCGGATTCAGGGCCTTGTGGACGACGATGTGATTTCATTTGCATCATATCATCAGCAGACATATTTGTGTTATTTCTATTTGATTTACTATAACGTTGTGTCTTTCTGTTGTCGTAGTTGGGTGACGTTGTTGAATCGAAGCTTTCATAGTTGTTCAAGAGAGGGATAGATGAACTTGAACCCTTGGGATGAATTGTGACTTCGACCTTGGGTTTACCTTGTTCATCCATTTCAGCATGACGCACGTAGAAGGGACGTACTCTACGATCACCACTGTTACGGAGACCCATTGCACTACGCTTAGGTAATGTAGCAGTAACACCACCAATACCTACCACATATCCTTGTCTATCTGCGTTCAAAATACGTCCCTGTACGGGGTAATCCCAACCTACTTGATGTTCAGAATAAGTGGGGCCAACCACGCCATTCATCTTTTCATTTTCGGCTTCGGTAAAGTTGACAGATAAGAAATCATAGACTTGTTCAGGTACCATTTCCTTCTTGGCAACTGCTTCTTGGAACTCGGCAGCCTTCTTTTGTGAATGACGAAGGAATCGGTTGAATTCGGCAGGGGTCATACTGGCAATGTTGTGTAAGATCTCTTCAGAGCGAGGAGCAGGTGGGTGAGAGTTGGGGAAATTTTCCTTCCAACGCTTGACAAATAACACTTGGCTCTCACCAGACTCCCAAGGTGTTTGATGTTCAGACGTATCCAAGGCGCCGACTGTGAGATGTTTGGTGCGGATCACGGTAGGTAAATTACGTTTTAAGCCCCAGTTGCCAATTTGTTTCTGCTTCATGGGTGTTGTATACACTTGTTGAATTCCACGATCATAGGTAGCAAGTCGTGAATGACGAAATAATTGAGCAAACGACGTGGTCATTTTTTTTTTTTTTGGTTTTAATTATTGCAAGTAAAGAAAAAAAAAAAAAAAAAAAATCCGTTCATGTCAAATTTTACCCCCGGTTCATCAGTTTACCAGCAACAAGTTGAGTCTGAGTGTCAAAGGGAATAATCACGCTTTTATTGTGCTTTATGAAAAGGATAATATCCAAAGGCTTCGTTGCAAGCTTTTTTCTAACAATGATTAAATTGAGTCATTTACGCGATGTTTGGATCCAACCGTGTATTAAGAACGTACCAAAGTTCATTATTTAAACTATACGTATTTAGCTTACATTTTTAACTTTCAGGGAAACAATATTTAGTATCTATTCTTCTGATCAGAATATATTGATTTCTACTTTGTTTTCAAAATTTAGTATATGATAATAGCGTTTTTGAATCAAAGATAAAAACTTTATTTGAAACTGATTTTGAGGACACCAGGCAAGCGATATGACGATATTTCCACTTTATTTGTTGCAGATCAATGGACTTTACATACAATGAAGAACGAGTGATCAATATTACTTAGTACATTGAACCCAATATAGCAACTGCTTATTACCATCCATGACCTGCAAATAGCCATAACATATTTCTACTTACGAAAAGAAAACGCTGTACAGCTTTAAGTCTTATCTTAGCGTCACTACTTGATGAAAAAAAAAAACATTTTTATTCGTCGCACTTGGTGGTTTTTCAATAAGAATAAGATCTTAAATACACATAATGACGCTGAAAATAGATTTAAACACTGAAGTAAATTAGAATGATTTCGATGTATATTTTGAAAACCTGAAATACAACAACTACTTTTATGCCATGAATGCCAAAAAAAAAATAATTTAGACGGTTAGACGCAATGACAAGACGTGAGCCGTTTGCGTCTTACGAGAGAATAAACTTTCAAATTTAAATTTAATAAATTGACATGTTCAAGGCTACTTTGATAAAATTATCCGAAAAAGATTGGTTTAGGGTCGTACTTCGCAGGACACAAGCCAAAGCAAACGGAAACTCACAAAAATAGAGGGATTTGTTGGGTAAAATAGGTCAAGGATCAATGGAGCTGTTTTTAATGTAAAGAAACCGAAAAAAAGCCACGTTCATCAATTGTTTTTCATTAGTCGTAAATACAATTCAATGGCGTTTGTGTCCGACACTCTTCTAATAGTTTTTTTATTATTAATGTGATCTATTAACAAGACGTGGTATTTAGAAAGATTAAACAGGATTACAAATAGGCTTTATTTCTTCATATCAAAGTAGTTTTGAGCAGCGGAAACAGCCATGTTTTGAAGTACGGATTTCTTCTTTTCCTTTTGCTCTTCATCATCGTCCTCATCATCATCATCAGTACCACGTTCCATGAACATCTTTACCATTTCAGTAGCAGCATAGCCAGCAATAGCTTGTTTAGCACCCTTGAAATGGATATCCTCGCCTGCTTCTTCCTTTTGGTCCATGTACATCTTTACAGCTTGCACAGCAACGGCACCGGCAATGACTTCATAACTGGTAATAACAATAACAAAAGTGTGTTAGCGTTTTGCAGTAGTAGCATAATAGAAAAAAAAAATTAAGGGCTAACCTTAAATGAGACTTGTTCTTTTCGTAGACCTTTTCATGCGCAGCCTTCAACTCCTTTTCCTTCAAGACAGCTTCTTTATCGTCCTTACCCCAACCACCCCAGTTACCGAACCAGGAACGAAGACGAGCGCATTTATCATCATCTTCTTCATCGTCGGAGGAATCGAGAACACGTGGAGGATCAGCCAATTGAAGATCCCAGAGTTGGTTGATACCTTCCTCGACATTTTCAGCCTTGTGGTAAATCATGATAGCAGCTCCAGGTTCCTCCTTCTTCTTGCGAATATCCACAACATCGTTTGTCTCAAAGAGGGTGTAGATATGGCCGTGTTCACTGGAGTAACCAAAACGCTGATCCCTAGCCTAAATTATATATTTATGTGTTACCATCCCCCGGTTGGTGTTCCGAATGATAAAAAGTTCACTTACATCGTTTTCGTGCTTCATATTGTCAACATAGACGTGTTCTTCACCAGAAAAGATGGCTTTTTTTTTAAAAGTGATATGAGTATGGCTTGGTTTGATTGTGAAATATGAAATATATTTATTTACCCATGAAGGACTTGGAACGCCCAATATCGAGAACAAGACCACCGAGTTTATTTGTAAGGAAACCTTACCTTGAAGCGTTAGCATTCTTTTGTTTCTCTCGTAATAATTTTTTGCATGATTAAATAATATATACCATTTTGGTGAATCCAGAGTTGACTATCTCTTAATTGTCTGTCTTCAATTTTAACAGCGGTAACAACCTTAGAACCAGCCTACAATAGACACGTTTTTAATTACAGCTTAAAAAAAAAAAAAGGGGGAGCAACTTACTTCGATGGGCTCGGTTTTATCAATGTCTAAAGCTAAGCCGTTAAACTTGGAAATAATGTAAAAGTAGCCCAAAGGGAAAGAATCAGTAACAGTCATTTTTATTTAATCAAAAAAAGGTATGTGTAATTTTTTTTTAATGTAAAGAAAGAAGAGCTAGAAAAAAAAAAAAGAAAGTGCTTTATACTATTTTTTTTTTGGTGTTGTAATTTCTTGTGGTACCTACTTTTCCTTTCAGAATTTTGACTCCGGCCTTTCCATATATGGATGGAGTCACTGTGTGGCTCCCCCCATCCTTTAAAAAGCTAAGCATAAGCAGCGTTTTTTAATCTTAAAAAAAGAATCTAATCATTTTACTGCAAGTAATCAATTTTAATCGTTTTTGTGACGCATGGCATAATTTTACTGAATTCTTATATCCCTGAGAAGAAAATTATTGATCTAACATTGAACGGGTGTATTTACTAAGACGAGTTTCCAAATATAAAGTACTGGCATATTGATAAAAATATATATCAAGTCAGTAGGTTTATGGGGTATGTTAATGTAGAATAATTGATAACATTCATATAGTTAGCTTTGATGCACAAGCGCCATCGTACATTTTATCATTTATTCCTCACTTCTTACCCGTTAGCTTCATCTTCTGCATTGTTGGGATCCGGGTACTGGATTACATGCCACTTAAGCAAACTACAGACCTTTGAATTGTAAAGAAACTAATCCGGTATCGATACAAAAAATGGTATTTTACCAGTAAACCAATCAAGATAAAATAAGGCTCAGCCTATGTAACATCAATTTTTGGCTGGAAATATCCAAAGAGGAATTAACCAGCGGTTGGTAAGATTCCATTTATAATGATATACGTGTCTTACAGTCTATTAAGGAGCAATTTTGTTTTAAATCCTGCGTCTTTTACAAGATAAAAGTGGAAATGAGTATAGGAAGCATCGGTACTTGTTGAGTTGTACTCGTAGATGACACTAAACGCGTACATCATTGATAAAAAAAAGTCGCAAAAATTAAAAATCGACTACTAGCAAGGGTTTCTCTTCCTGGTTTAAAATTATAGCTTACATGAGTATTCCGTTGTATCAGTTTGTGATGCTGATGGTTTATTTAATATTCCTGTTGTACGTTATCCCACCAAATGCCTTTAATGCCACTAGACTGAATTTTATGTAACCATAAATAAAGGGTCTTTGGAATATTTTAGTTACACGAAAAGTTCCCACTATTGAACCGATGACAGCTCTCACTTACAAGCACTTCATAAAAGTTACCCTATAATTAAAGGGGGACGGTTTTTACCTTCTAAAAAGTTTTTTTTTTTTTTTTGGATCTGATTCTCACCGACAATATAAGAGTTTTTATAGAAGTACTCAAATTAGCACACTGGGAATTTAAAAATGAACGCGTAAACCAACAATGTTTAATACTGTTTATCTTTTGCTCTTTGATACGAAACAACAAGAGCTAAGTGACATTGAAACTGGTGCCCTGTTAAGAAGGTCAGGCGTAGAAGCACTCAATTCAGACGTTCAAGGTCCTTGACATCAAGAGCTCAAATAAAACGCATGCAGACCGTCAATCCGGTGCAAAAACTAAAATATCTGAAAATATAAAGAGACGGGGATTTTGGCACCGATCGAGCTTGGGGAATAGCTATCCTACAAGATGCTGTACTGTTAAAGCGGCTTTGTTATCGGAAACAACAATCTTTTTAATACCCATGTTTCAATGCTGTCTTTATTTTTGTAAATTGTGAAAAACAACATATGCCGCTGATAAAGAAATGGTTGTATCATTGACCAACCGCAACTCAAATTTGTCTAGTTGCATAATAACTTGATTAATGATTTGAAAGAAAAAAAAAAGGTATGTGTATTATCTAATAAATTATATATATAAAGTGTATGGGGTGTACTATTTATTCTTCATCGTCCTCTTCTTCATCTTCTTCTAAACCGGCTTCTTCATCCTCGATATCATCATCATTATCAATTTGGCGTTCAATCAAGGGCTTGATCAATCGATTGAAATAAGGATGAGGTCCTTGAGGGTTTGAACGCTTCACCTGATCAAAGTAATGTACGTACACATTTCCATCGGCACGGCCTAATGGACTATTGACCATATAATCTGTTAAATTAAACGCATCCACCAATGGAATGGCTTGTTCTCGCACAGCGGCACAAAGCTCATTGGTCTTGGTACGAATTTGTTCCATTTGTGTGGGTGAGAAATACTCATACTGTAAGAAAGCACCGGCATTTTCTTCGACAGTGTACAAACCATACAAGAGACAGACTTCCATCAGGACATGCTTCAAATTGTCTTGGACTTTACTAACACCATCCACAAATCGATTGAACAAGTATCCATAAGAGTGAATCTTGGCAGCATAAAGTCTTGATTGAGAGCATTGTTCATACGCATCGTCGATATCTAATCCACGTTTAATACAATCCTCAAATTCTAAAGCGGCGTTTTGTACCACATTGGCACACACAACTTGCCAACCCTCGATAATAACTTGGGGATCCAATAAATTGGCATCGGCTCTACATTTCTTTCCAATCAATTGTTGAAGGTTGTTCAAGTAACCCACGCCAGGTGAAAGCTTCTTTCCTTTGACGGCTTCACGATAACTACCAATCAAGTAACGTCCCAACTGCAATGTCAAGATGGTATTATCACCTTCCCAAGTACATTGAACTGCGAAATCCTGATACATACCCGCTAAGCCTGTATATGCGGAGTAACCATGTCCACCACACGCCTGTCTACATGCTTCAATTGTACTCAAACAATTCCAAGTACAAAATGCCTTTAAGCCTGCACTTGTTGAATGTGTTTCCTTCAACATCTCCAATACCTCTTCTAAATCAGTATCACCACTCTTGGCATTCTCTAAACGTCCCATCATCTTGTTATACATGGCAGACATTTCATTTCCGGTAAACAACATAGCAAATGTCTGTGCCAACAAGGGCATCAAGCGACGTTGGTGGATAGGATAGTCGAGTAACTTGGTTTCGACGTCGGATTTCGAATTGCTGAATTGACGTCGTACAGCGGCATAACGGATAGCGATTGTCAAGGCTTTCTTGGAAGTATGACCACTATCGACAACCATGGCAACACGACCTTGAAGAAGAGCACCATAAGTCAACTGTTGTAACTTGGGCTCCTTAACAACACCGGAACGAGAGACTTTAGCATGTTTCATCAACATGTAAGCACGAGGGATACGGACGTTGGTGAATTGAATGTAACCGTTATCGATACCATCACGACCCATCTTTTTACCGAGATCACCAATATTAATACCGGGTAAAGTGTTGTAGGTCTTGGGGTCACGAAGAGGAACGATGAAACATTTGGTTCCGTAGTTCTTGCCCTTGACGACAAGTTGAGCAAAGACAGCAGAGTGAGTAGCCGAATGAGCAGCACCACCAATCCACCATTTTGTTGCGGTAACAGTAGGTGTATGAATAATAAATTGATCGGAAGCTTCATCAAAGGTAGCTGTAGTTTCCAATCCGGGTACATTGGATCCGTGACCGAGTTCAGTCATGGCAAAACAGCCGACCATGCCAGACAAAGATAAGGCACCCTTTTGAAACCAGTAACCTAATTGTCCTGAAGTAGCGTTACTTTGTAAAGCACCTACGAATAAACCATAATGTACACCGAAGCGAGTCCAGAAACCGGGATCGATCAAACTGACAATCTCCATACGTTTTTTGAAAATATCCAAGGGTTCATTAGAAAGATGATGAATCAAACTACGGAACTGAAAAAAAAGTGACAGGCAGAAAAAAAAAAAGGTTAGCTTTTAATGTGTGGATTGTGACTGATATGAAACAAACCTTTTCCATGGTTCTTTCACGAAGTTCGTCTTTTGAAATATCATGAATATCATCCATTTTAAATAAGGGATCTCTTTCAAAATCTTGCATAAAACGTTCCTTCAACTGTATAAAGAAAATGTTTTTTTTTAATCTATCTATATCTGTACATGGGGTTTTCTTTGTTCTTTCTTACCAAGGTAGTTTTTTCACCACCGTCTAATAAGTAGGTTAATTCCCGAATATTGAAGACAGCCTTCGCACGTTCTTCTGTCATACTGGCTACAGGACTATGATGATGTCAAAAGAATGATGAGTGACAACCCAAGACATACACATATAAAGAAAAGAAACTTACTCGACAGCCACTGCATGCTTTTGCTCAGGTGTCATGTGCTGCTGGATAGCGTCTAATCTATTTTTTGATCCCGACATAATTTTTTTTTTTTTTAAAATGTTTACGTGTGGAAAAAAAGAGTAAAAGATAAAAGAAATAAAAATCATATCTTTATATAAGTGATACGGATTAAGAAGTGACTCTGAATTTTCACATGCCAATGTATAATAACAAAATTTCCCATGTGAAGAAAGGTTTCTTTTTCCCCACCTTTTGTAACCCATCTGTTGATCCGAAGTATAACAGTGTTTGTTTACAATGCATTTTTCTTTGATAAACGTCATTTCATTTTCATTGTAGATAGGATAATTGCTATGTCAACCATAAGCAGCTCAAAATCATAGATACTATGGCCATCGATCGTTTAAAAGAGAGAAATGTGATGTAGATACTTTTGGCATGTGACAAGACGATAGTCCTCTCTCTTTTCTCTGCTCCCAAAAATGCGGGGTTAATCTCAATGTCACATTCAATTGTCATCAGTTTTTAACGTTTATCTCTTCCAAATAATAAGATGTTACCCATCAAAAACTCCGGAGGGTATCACACTGGCAAAAATTGTACACATAAAAAGTGTGTCCCGGTGACCTGTTGGCTTGTTTTAAATAGAATTGCTATAAAAACTGATTAAAAAGAAAGTGAAACGTATCACGATGAGAGACAGATTTTTACTGACAAAGTGGATTCAGGGGCATCACATGTAAAAATAGAGTCTCTCTATGACGCCATCAAAGACCAAAAAAAGAAATAATTTAGATGGTAACTGTTGTGGTATTTCTTTTTTTTTTATTGCTCCTTCATGTAATCTACAAACTAATAAAGTATAGTAAATATCTACATCTATTCTGAATAAATTCATGTCTTACTTCGTCAATCAAAATAGGCCATGCTCCTTCCGAATCATAGGTCTTCATATCCAAATCTTTTTGGCTTGCAAAATCAAGGAACTAGCATATTTTTTTTTAGGATGCATTCGTGCACATTATCTCTTCAACTTACCAAGTTCCATGTATCACGGGAAATAGCCTTGCCATGCTTTTCCTAAAATAAAACGGGGAGCGAAAAAAGATCAACATGATAGATCTACACATGTTCATATATCCCTTCTCTCACCTCCAAAAACTTAATCCATTGATCCAACAAACTGAATCTATCTGTCAACAATAATCTCCAAAGCTCTGTAGCAGCTTCTAATGCTAACATCCCAACATTTAGCCAACATTCTACCTGAATAGAACACACAAAAAAAAAAAAACTTACATAAACTCTTTTGGCCTGTTTGTCTACCCAGTAAAAATGCGTAACTGTAGATCTTTCTAAATCCTGCGTCTGTTTGATATTGCTCCTTCAAGGTGGTCTCTAGTGCGAATTTTAACTTTTCGACCGTATCTGCTTGTAATTCGATACAACCCTTTTTAAATCCATCACGCGAAAATTCACCCATTCTGTCGGACCCCAACTGATGAGAAATCATGAGGAATTCAAGTTGTGTGGGTTCGATATCGAGATCCTCACATAATTGCATGGTTCCATCTACCATTATTAAGTCTTTTTTCTGTGCATCTATGAATAAAGTATGAGATGTCGAATACAATTACCCCCATTTTTTTTTCAAGTACCTTTGTATTTATCAAACATGGCATCAATGTGTTGCATATTACACTTGCTTGGCTTAAAGGAAGCTTGTTGTTGCTGTTGTTGTTCGTATACATTGTTAAGAGCTACATGCAGATCCCAATTACACGACTTCAAAATTCTAATGCTGTCCTTTTCACTAATTACAAAACGACTAAGTAAAGGAAGGTTTCGTCATAGATAATGGTTTTACCTCAAATGAGCAAAATCCATTAATTGACGAACAGTTTCTAGTTGTTGTTGACGCTGATAAAGGTGTTAGCTTTTACTTTTTTTTTTTTGAAAAAAGGATTGGTACACGTTCATATTTACAAGTGTGTATTTAACTTTACATTAGACATTTTGTTCAAGCTCGTATGAGTTCAAAAGATGCAGAACAGTGCTTTCACTCAATTTGGCACGTGTGACATACCTGGGGATAGTCACCCGGCTAAATCAGTTGCCGGCTCTACTGGAGTTCGTAACGTCACCAACCTGGTGTGCTGATAAGTCGAAAATATAAATTATCAGCATATGTATCCAAAAGTTCTAGAATTAATGCTCAACGTATTTATATGCTTTGTAAAACCCTCTTTGAAGAAAGATGAGGTCGTGTTAAGAAACAAGTGAGCTAAACCTGATGCAGCCCTGTTTTGGACTCGGTTGCCAGTGGTAGAGAAGGTCCTTAGTCTTCTTAAACATTTGTGATTTACACAGACAACAGGTACTTTGACACTTTGTAACCGCCTTTCTGACACAAGTTGTTTTCAAGTAACTGATACATTTCAATATTGAGTTGTTTTATTATCAACAGATCAACAGATCAATGGTCTGAGAAATAACCTAATTCGTAACTCTTAATATTTGACATACATGGCTACAGTTAAGCTTCTTCGTAAAATTGCTGAAATTTGATGCGGATGGCATAAGTATACGAACTGATCCATGATTTATGAGCAAATTAAAATCTCTGAAGAGTTACTTTCGCTAGTTTAAAGAATAAATGCAGATATGCTTTTTTATTTCTTATTTTTCTTGTAAGGATTCGATTAGCCAGGTATCGATAATTAGTCTTGCTATACAATTGATTGCACCCTTATCTCTATGACTAAGCTTCAGCGTATAGATGCGCATTCCATGACACCTCTTTCTTCCTCTTCTTGGCTATCTTAAAATCTTTTAACACTCCTTTAAGAAAAAAGTAAGTCTGGCGTTTTCTTTTTGTTGATTTTCATTAAGACGATATTGCTAAGTAAAATCTTTAATTTCGACTGTTGTTTAGTTTGCATATGTGGGTTATATGCGTTCTGAAACAGCAGATTGATAATCAGTATTCGTTATTAGTATTATAGCACAGATAAGATGCATGTCAGTGTTGAGTGACAGAGTTAAAAACTGTCACGCGAAATATTAGCAGGACATCTTTTAGGATATGTTTCAAATTACTTTAAATTGCTGATGTAAGCTGTAAGGTACAAGATAAGCAGACAACAGGCAACTTGTACGTAAAGATGATGATCAACACAATTGAGTTACCGACAATTTCAACTTGACTGCATCGTGATTTCATTCTTTTTAAATTTTTACCCCGGGGTTGAAAAACTCGTTGTTCTCTTTCATTTTTTTTTTAGTGGGTTACTTTTTTAATAATGTATAGACGTGTATTAGTTAATTCTAAACCTTTGCAACGCGGTTATGTTGGACTTGCTTTCGACCAACAGCAAAAGAAAGAGACCATTGACCGTTCTTTAAAATCCTTTCAACATGTAGTAAATGGTCCTACCAACACCATTTCTGAAGTGGGAAAAGGCAAGTGTTTTCTTTATGAAAGAGTTTTTGAAGCAAAAAGCTAAAACATATACACATGTAGATATCGACACGGAAATTCAAAACGATCCTATTTTTGAAGTTGTATCTTCTGGCGTTGGTAAATAGTTTTATTTATTCACAGTATCAAATTATATTAACACACTGTTATTTTATAATAGGATCTGCATTATTAGTCAAGGTTAGCTTGAATTATCATTGTCTTTGGGATAGAATATTTAATTTTTGTTTGTTGATAGTTACCACCCGATTCAGAAATCACCGCCATTACAGGCTCTGCTTTGGGATCATCCACCCGAGTCGGTTCTAAGTTAGCTTTGGATACGACCACAGTGAAAGCACTTGGCAGAAGAATTGTAGGCGATGCCATGTTCTATCAAAAAGTAAGAAGAACACACTCCATTATGACCGACTTATCACTGATGTTCAGTCTATTTTTCACGGTAGTATTATACAAAGAACGCAGCAGGCGATATCTTATTGGCCCCTCAAACTTTGGGAGAAATCACCACCATCCCACTTAAAACCACTGCCAAATATATTTTGAGACGCGATGCATTTTTAGCAAAGACAGAAAAGGTCACCTTTGATTTAGGACTCAACAAGGACAGCGTTGTAAGCAATGGGATTATATAAATATTTGTACATATATACATACAAAAATGGAGGATTGACATGATTCTGAAAATAATAATAATTAGGGATTGGTCAATAAGTTGGTTCATACGGTAAGTGGACCTGGTACATTGGCTATCAGTCATTATGGAGGTTTGTATCGTATCTCACTTGCTGCTGGTGAAGAATATCAAGCCAATCCTCGTAATTTGATTATGTGGGATAAACGCACCAACCCTTCCAGACTTCACCCTGCTCATCCTGTCGTACCTTCTCCCCGATCCAAGTTAAGACAATATGAAGTGATTCGAAATATCGTCGATAGTCCTTCTCTTCAACCAAAATTACAGTACGTAGACACGCTTGCCAAGGCCATGCGTAATTATTTGATGGGTGCACCTGTAAGACATTAAAAAGAGTGAAAGGAAAAATTGTCTAATAGTTTTATTGCGTAGGATTTTGTTAAATTAAAGGGTCCAGGTGATTTCTATTTGACTTCCCGTGTTCAACCTCGTTTTGAAAAGTCCAGATTGTAAGTTGATGATAATGATAGGAATGACAAAAAAAAATTGGCTTAACCAAAGATATAGGATGAACGCTTTAGCTGCTGCCAATGATTCAGCAGCTCAATTATTTGAGCAATCTTCAATTTTCCCCAGTGTGCCTGAATCTGAATTTATCGATTACACTAAAAAGAAACATCCCGGATATGCTCAAAAGTCTACAGACGGTTTCCCATCATGTTATGCCGTGGTTGGTCCTAAAGGTGCTGTCGCATTCACCCCAGCTACCAGAGAAGAGAATGTGTAAAAAATAAAAATAAAAAAATAATAATCATGTACATTTTTAAAAAAAAGAAGAGGAATCACCCCTTTTATTCACCATTGCTCGACCATCTTTTTGGTATAATAGGCCCCAGTGGCTACAGAGCAAAGAGCCATGGTGACAGGAAAAGCTTTACTAGTTTTAATAGCCTTAGGTACCATACTGCTGGCCATGATAACGGAGGCTGCTATGGCGGTCTCTTGACCATATTTTCCTTTTCCTTGAATATTTGAGGCAGCTATACCGTATAAAACACCTACACCTACACCTGCGACTAATGACGGTAAAGATCGCGTACGAACATATCCAGCAATACCTCTAACCATTGAAAATGTCAGTGTCGACTTAATGACAAACATGTGGGACACTAGTTACCCTGCTGTACAAAGTGCTGCCATGAAGTAACTAGGTTGTTGACTCATTGTGTATAATATTTAAGAAAAAGAAAGGGTTGCGATTTAACCATAATAAATTACTGGGTTGGACTTTATTCGGGCCGAACCACTGTGATTTTTTTTTTTCCACCGACTTTTTGTCTGCGCCATAACAAGAATTTCTTGTGATAATTATGCCTCACAGAGAGAGTGTGTGTATTCGGACACCGAACTTTTTTCTTTTCCTTTCTTTTCATAACAAAATGAAACTCATTGGATTAACAGGAGGCATAGCTACAGGTATTTACACGCAAAGACACTGTCGTAGGACAATAGACTAAGCTATTTTATGTTTAGGTAAATCCACTGTATCGCGTCTTTTAACCGAACAAGGCTTACCCATTATCGATGCTGACAAGATTGCACGAGAGATTGTTGAACCCGGAAGAAAGGCCAACCAATTGATTCGACAACACTTTGGTGATGAAGTGTTTTTACCCGATGGATACCTTGATCGACCAAAGCTGGGCCAGATCATTTTTCAAGATCCCGAGAAACGTAAAATATTAAACCACTGCACCCACCCGTATGTGCGTTGGGAAATGGCCAAGCAGGCCTTCCTGTATTGGCTAAGAGGAGCAGACATTGTTATTTTTGACGTACCCTTATTAATTGAGAGTAAATTGGATAGGTTTATGGGAACTACGGTGGTAGTATTTTGGTATGTTTTTATAATAATCAGATGCAAATTCAAGTCTATTAATGCTTAGTAGCTCTGATATATTGCAATTGCAGAGATTGAGAAAACGAGATAATTTGACAGAGGAACAAGCAATTCAACGCATGAAATCACAAATGCCCATGTCGGAGAAAGTAGAAAAGGCCGATATAGTTCTAGATAATTCAAGCGACATTCAGCAATTGGAAATACAGGTGCGAAATATGGTCAAGAAGATTAAACCTTCCAGATTGACTTGGTTTTTTGAATACGCGGGCCCTCCAGTGGCTATTGCATTACTATCGGTGATTGCAAAACGGTATGCCCCTATTTTATTAAACACCATTGGTGATAGTATTGCCAGCCTGAAATAAAAACTGCTTATTTTTTTAAATATAAAGTGAATTCATATTCTAATTCCTTGTGCTTTTGAATTCCTTCAGGAACGGTTTGTTGAACATAGTTTTCTAATTCTTGATGACTAGCTAAACGAAATTGATCTTCATTGATCTTGGGGAAAAATGTATCACAGTCAATCTTGGACTTGATTCGGGTTAATAAAATATGAGAGCAGTTGGCATGCTGAATAGCTAAGTTGTACATTTGTGCTCCTCCAATCACAAACGTTCTTGGGTGCTGAATAGGATCCACTGCTTCAAACGCTTTTTCTAAAGAATCCACAAGAATCGTATTTTCAGCTTTAGCCAGCTTTCTTTTTCGTATAAGTTAGCAAACGTATGTTCCTTCTCATATAAAACAAAACTCACAAGTCGTAGGAAGTGTTACGAGATACAACGATATTGAAGCGATTATCAAGAGGGCGAAACTTGGGAGGAATGGATTCCCAGGTCACTCTTCCCATAATCACGGCATTTTGTCCTTGCGAATCCTTGGGTATAACAGTGGTAGCGTGTTTAAAGAAAGCCATGTCTTTAGGAATACGCCATGGCAAGTTGTTTAATACACCAATACCTAATTCTTCAGTGGCAGCAACAATGAGTGCAAAATGTGACATGTCAATAAGAACAAAAGAGAAAACGATTTTTTTTTTGCAGCCGAGACGGAGTCCTGAATAGGCTGGGGGACAGTTTTGTGTGACTTTTTGGAATGCACACCCACAAGGGTTTTTCTTTTTTGGATATTTTCTCTCTCTTATATATAAAAAAAAAACTTTATAAAATGATTGGATTGAAGGGTACACTTAATGTCATTGACAACTCTGGAGCTATTCTTGCCGAATGTATTCAAGTCTTGAGCGGTGCTCGTTTCGCCAGAGCTGGTAAAATAACACTGGGGGAGATATAAAACATGAAAAAAAAAAAATTTGACAAGGGGTTAACTAATTTCCATTGCAAATGGTAGGTGATGAAATTGTTTGTGTTGTAAAGCGTGCTAGACCCATTAACCCTAGCATTGCCGGTACTCAAGCTGCCGCACAAAAAGTAAAGAAGGGTGATGTCCGTCATGCTCTTGTTGTTCGTACAAAGAAAGAAATGTCTCGTCCTGACGGTCGTACCATTCGTTTCGACGACAATGCTTGTATCTTATTAAACTTGAAGAAGGAACCTCTCGGTACTCGTGTATTGGGTGTTGTTTCTGCTGAATTAAGAATGAAGAACTGGATGAAGGCTGTTTCCCTTGCTCCCAGAATTGTATAAATTTTCTATCGTTTTAATCCATACACATTATTTCCGTCATATATCGCACACACACAAAAAAAAAATTAGAGGTAATCCCAGCCTTCATTCCATTAGAAACTGATCTATTATTCAAATAAAAGACATATCGAGTTTGAGGGTGAAGAAGATGTTTTTCATGTCTTTTTCATCTTTTTTTTTATCATTGTATACACACGATATTTATGGATTGAATTGCTTTAGCGTGAATTAGGCTTATACCAAAGGAGAGCTATAAACCACTCGAACACTCTCAGTACAATTGATAGTTCGTCTTCTGTAGAACGACGTTTTGTGTTACTGATTGACAAAAGAGAGAATATATGATGATAAAAATGGAAGAGTGGTGCGTAAATACACCAGCAACTACACAAGCTAAAGACAGCAATGCTACAATCGACAATAATATGAAGTATAGATGTGCTCCAGAGAGTACAGTATGAAGGATGATTATTACATTTCCGTAGTAAAGTCGATATTTTCGAAACCGAACGGTTTCGAATTTTCTTTGTAAACGAAGAGCAAACTGTAGGTAAATAACTAATAATTCAGTTGTTTTGATATTGAACGGTTTGTTGATAGAGTTGGGCAATTTACCTGGATTATACACATTTATCATCTTTTAGTCAAACTCCTATGAAACGGAAAATAACTAATATTATAGTATCATATATGTATACAATCTGGCAAAAATAAAAATAAATAATGCAAGTAAACAGCATGAGTAATCACGAAAGATAGACAAGTTTAATGGGCTACAATGCACACTGTATATTTCATTAAACAACATCAAGAGCCTTTTTACGCTTCAATACGTGATAGTATCAGTACTCTTTGCGCCTAACATACACACTCCCACAATACCCTTTGAAGTACTTCAGATATTTTATCAATCTGATAAAAAGACCATCGCTCAAGCTGTCTATGTCTATAACCACCAATATCAGCCATCACTATGCCTTACATACAAACAGTTGCATTTTGACAACTAACACTGGCCTTTTAAATACCTGATTAGTTTTACTATTACCCTAGTACATCTTATCTTAGCCTGTAAATGATAGAAACCTTTCTATTCTAAGTATAGTAATGTAGAATGGTAGTAATAATATTATTCAAAAGTTATATCGCTGCCTTCTTGTCATGGTGTAAGAATGATTATTGAAAACACAGTTGATAAATTAGACAGCTTTTTCATTTTTTTTTAGCTGCATAAATGTTTTTTAAAGCACGCATAATACCCATTGCCCTTTTTTTTTAAGATTCTGTTTTTTTTACAGTTTGACTTCAAATGTCACCAGCTACACTACCTTACGAAGTTTTACTCGAGATATTCAGTTATACAGAAAGAAAAACTATTGTTCAGTGCAGTTGTGTCTGCAAGAGTTGGAATCAACCAGCATTAACAAGTTTGTTTCAAGAATTGTATTTGCACGATGGTCATGATATTGTGAAGCAGGATTTAGATGAAACATCTAAAGGGCAAAAGTACTTTAAATATTGCGGTAACGTTAAAACACTCAAGATAAAAGAGAGGCCATTTGATGCCTCTCGAACAACTGGAGAAGAATACATGTTTACTCGGCAACAATTCATAAAACTTTTGGAATACATGCCTAATCTTCAAACATTGGATTTATCATTATCTTCTGGTGATATTTATCTGAAATTTATCCTGGAGTCTGACTCGATAAAGTGTCTAAATCATATTCAAACCATTTCACCCGCCTTTTCAAAATTTTATTTCCCCGTATGTTTCAAGTATCGTACCAGCATTGTAAATCTCAGGATTGAATCTTGGACGCATTCAACTTCTTTTGGCCCTCAGGCTTACCCAACACTGACTGTTTTGAGCCATTTTACAGCATTAAAAAACTTGAGTTTGCGTTTTCGTCAAAATCAATTTCCAATGCTATCCGATCTTCTGGGAGCCTTTCCAAATTTACTGGCACTTAAAATTGGCACAAACTCATATTTCCGTCATTTATATCTAGGCGATTTCGTTCCGAATCGTCTTGTTGGTAATATACGTCCTCCGATAGACCTTCTTTTTCGGGATGGTAATGTTGACCCTCAAGACAATTTTATCCAGACTAGTCTTCCTCAAATCATTACCCCTCCGAGAAATGTCACTCTGCACAATGCCACTAAGAACACACAGTGCATCACCGTAGAAAGTTTAACTCTTGGCGTACCTGAAACATCGGGGAAACAGATCATAGACATAGCAACAAGCATTTCTAATCGATTGCAAAATCTCTACTTGTTAATTGATATGGAGCTGAATGAATGGGTACGCATTGTTGGCATGGATAATGCTTTGAAACTCATGAGACGTATGGCTACTATGAACAATGCTATTATATATTTTAAAATTTATGATTTTCAACAAAGTCGTTACACTCGATCAAATATGACGGACCATTTTACGATGTTTAACGCATTTAGAGGATGCGATACAACGTGTGCAGCCATATATGGATATAGAAGCATCATAAATGATCCTTTGCTATTTGAATATGGCTTAAAAAGATGTGATTACTATCGTCAAAACATTAATGGGACACGTACGATCATAATTGCTTTACCTGATGTCACATCCTCTATTATCGGACCCGAGATTTTTAACAGTTTAACAATTTATATCGCAGAACCTGACTCAGAATTGACTCATATGTTTCTGGAGTATGCATTGGTCAATTGTTCGAAACTGCAGAGTTATACTTTCATTAATTTGTGTAGGGGTCCTGAACAAATTCGACTTCAACTTCGCCGAAACCAAAACCGAGAAAATGATTTCCACGATTCACAAGATGTAATAGAAAGGCTTACAGTTTTAGTTATTGAAGGATGCATTCCGCCAAGAAGAACAATGGAACGAATCAATCATTATTTGCCACATATTGAACTGTTGTGCTTATCTGGAACCAAATATAGGATGTCGGGTGAAATAACGGGGCCAATTGATACTACGTCTTTAAAAGGCTTGAAACGATTTTATATGGATCTTCGTAAAGCTTACTGTTGGATTCACATGAAGTACACGGATGGAACCGAAGCTTATTACCATTTCACAAGTAGATATCACAGTTTTAAAGAAGTGACTGTAAATGTTTTTCATGGAAATGGAGCTTCAAGAGTTAAAGATCGTCGCAGAATACGAAAAACCACCATCCTATGTAATAAGGAGACGGCGATTGTTTTCTTTTACGGCGAAAAATTTGTAGTTGCAGAGATCGAGAAAGGCCAACTCCATGATTATATTAACTTTAATAGCGACTACAAGAACTTAAATTTCCTGCCAAAAATGTTAGTCCCACTATGATGCATCAAGTAAATATATATATATATATATAATTTTTGAAACTATGTCATTGCAAATAAAAAATAAATGTTAAAAGTCCTGAACAACTTAAGGTCCTGGTTAAAACCACGTTAAAGCACTTATGGGGACCTTTTCCCACACATTCACTCAGTAGTATGATGGACATAGCCCTCTCTATGAGTCAAAAATGTATTATGAGCATTTTTTTTTATTAAGTGGAAAGAAAAAAAAAGAAAAAAAAAGGTTTTGGGCTTCCCTTAGAATTTCTATGTATTAAAAATAGGTTAGTATGTACGCGTTTAAAAGAATGAAAAGAGAAGCTTACCCAGTCTGTTGGTATGTTTTGAGCCCATCTAAATTTATCTACTAAAGTTTTACTGAAGACCTTCTCCATAGGTACATCATTTCGTTTACACCAAGCGACGGTAATGCGAGGATCAATGTAATTCAATTTGGAGGTACCAAGAGCGACTTCCTTATTCTCTTCTTTATCTGTAGCTTGATTTTTAGTAGCATAGATACGAGTATCGATCTTTTCGATACTGGCGATTAACTTTTCAACGCTAGCCTTTGCAGGAGGTTCAATCTTGGCAAGCTTACGTTCCTTCTTTAAACGAACAGCAAGCTCATCAGCAGCCTTCAACTTCTCTTCCAAATCTTTCAAGGTCATGGCTGGCACACCTTCTGCAGCCAATTTCTCATTTTGTTTCTCAAATCGGGACTTGATCTTATCCTTTTCTTTCTCGACCAATTCCTCTTCATGTTGCTTAATCCAATCATCTTCCAGATCAGATTCAGGTTCTCCATATTCGGGCTTTTTCTTCAATTTAGGGTCTAATGCCAACAATTGCTTTCTCAACTTCATACGGTCATACTTGAGAGCTCGAATACGATCACTGATCCTAGAAATCATTTGAGCATGTGTTTTGGAAGCAGATCTTTGATGGTTACACAAGACAGCCACTTCACGGTTCGCACGATTATAAGACAAGAGTTTGTCAGGTACAGAGTCATTAGGATTTGTTAATAAATCGATTTGCTGTTGAAATGTATTCGAAGCGTTATAGGTACGGAAAACTTTGGCGGTTAAGCCCTTCATACAACTATTCAAGTACTTGTTCAAATCGGATGTAGTCAGACGATCAAAGATCTTGTGTCCTTCGCCTACTTGTTTCTTAAAGATCTTGATGTTCTTGAACACTTGAAGGTCAACTTCAACTGTGTTTTGATAACGAATGGAATCTTTACCCAAGAAATCAAAATGCAAGATGTTGGGTGGTTCCAATTTAATATGTTCATGACGGAGAGAACAACAACCGACGGTATCAGCTACATCATCACCCTTTTCATTACCAGCTCTCAAGGCCAAACGATCAATGAGATACATGGCGGTTGCACGTTGGCGGACCTCACTTAATTTATCACGTAATTCCTTGGTATAATTGGCACGAATGGTCTTGACATATTTCTAAAGATAAAGTTAATAAAGGGTTGAAGTCAATGGGTGCAGTACAAACAAAAAAAGACATACTTTCAGTTCTCTGGCCTTCTCAAACTTTTGCATATCACTTTGACCCTTCCAGGCAGAAGTAGCGGCCAGAAAGACGTATTTAGTAGCGCCATTGACGTTTTCTTTCCAGGTGGCTAACCAAGTGGCGGTTTGGTCATGTACGACGGCAGCCCATTTGTGACCCTGAGGAGGTTCGGGAATGACGGCATCGACACCTAAATTCAAAGTGACTTGCTCAGGTGCTACGCGAGTCTTGAGCTTACCTGTTTTGGGATGATTGCCTCGACCACGAAACAAACCTGGAGGTTCAATTCGGAAATTACCCACCTTTTCTTTACGGCCGTCGACCATGGCATAAAGATATTTTGCCTCAAGCTTTTCTCTTTCTGCTTTAATAGCCTATGAGAATACAATAATTAAGTTGAGGCAACCAATAGAAAGTTTAAAATAAAACTTACGGCTTTTTCCTCCCTGGTTAAAAGTTTCTTCTTTTCCTTTTCACTTTCAAACATGGCATGGATGGGTGAGAAATCACACTTTTCAAATGAAGTAATTTCAGGATTCTGAAAGAAGGAGTTTAGAATGCAAATGTCAGTATAAAAAAACATGTTAAAGTTACCCTGGGATCTTTCTTCAGGACAGTCTGCCAGTCGTCAAAAAAGTTCTTTTGAAAGACAGGATTACGACCATGGTCAGTTTCTAAAAGAGCAGCAAAGAAAGAGGCAACTTCTTCTGCTTCAGGAGAAAGAGAGATGGGTTTACCATTATATCTCATTTTAACGCCGTGAGGTTTATACTCTGGGGGAAAAAGTACACCGCTGTGTTGCAATGTAGTCCATTTAACAGAGTCGTCTTGTTCAATCTCTTGAGGTTGTTGCTCTTCTTCCCACCATTTGTAAAGATCAGGGTCGTCTTCTTCCTTCTTTACCTTCTTTTCGCGCTTATTACTGGCAGGAATGGCAGCACTGGCGGGTCGTTTTTTAGAGGTTGTGTCCACATCCATTGGTTCGGCCTTGACTTCCTTTGGTTTGGGACTGGCTTTAGGCTTAGGACTGGCTTTAGGGCTTACTTTCTTTAATTGTCGTTTTTTTGCCTATGTGAGTAATATGTTTAGTAAAAGACAATGAAAATAAGGGGATAGAAATAAAATAGAACTTACTAAAGGCACATCGTCCTCACTATCACTTTCTTCTTTCATGGATTTAGTAGGAGAAGCTAATTTACGCTTGACTAAAGGAATATCATCATCGTCTTCACTACTACTTTCTTGCTTAATTGGTTTCTTGACGGGACGAGGCTGACGTTCAACGCGTGATAAGGGACGTTGAGCTAAAGGTATATCGTCGTCTTCACTTTCACAAATTGGAACCGATATTTTAAAGGCTTTTTCCTTTCCTGTGTTCATGTTTTAGTACAGCTTCTTTATGTTGACTATTAAAACTTACCTTTTTGATTAGACATGGAGCAAAAGAGAGGAAGAAAAAAAAAGAAAGAAGAAAAAAAAAAAGAGAGAGAGAGAAATTTTTTTTTTTCAGGTTGGAAATGTTGAGTGTTTTTTTTTTTATTTTGTGACGGAGTCTTAATAAGGGTCGGCCAAGGTAGGCCAATTTGGTAAATGCCTTTTATCAACCAGTGGCCAAACCTGCTTGGCATCATATAATTCAATGAATTGTTGATCCATTGATCTTGACTTTGGGTGTGAGAAACGACGGTATTCATCAAATATCGATGTATGGCTCCAATTTTGAATCTTTCTTAAACAACCAATTAAGCAACCTGTGCGATGCTACAATGAAAAAAGTATAAATTTTTCTGACATTTATATTTTTTTTTCATGCCGTTGTTACATGTATACCTTTCCCTTGTTACAATGGATTAATATCGGATGGTTGCGTTTATCTAATAGAGCAGCTAGTGCTGCACTGATCTTGTCTTCGGGGACTAGGAATAATAAAGATGAGTCGGCTGGAATATTACACGTACTGAATTAAACATTACTTTGCACAAAGGGTTCCTTTTAATAAAAGAGAAGAGTTGTAAATACATGTACATGAGTCACATAGCAAATGAATTGTACCTTGTTTCCTGCAATGCCAAACTGTAAAAACTGAATATTCTGTTCCTCTAAAAACTTCATGTTCTGTTCAGGATATTCTTCTAGGATTAACGTTCTAATGTAATGTCAATAAAGGGCTGCAATGAAATATGGAGAACATACAAGACACTTTTTAATTTTAACTTTTCTAGAAACTTGTAGTGCTTCTTTTTGGGAAAGGAAGAACGATACACGTGCTCACAGACCATATTGAAGTTCTCGGGAGGTATTAAAGCCTCTTCAAACAATTCAGTGTCATCCTGTACATTAAACGAATCTAACAAGGCCCAGTTAGGATCCATTACTTTTGGTGCTTGTACTAGACTCGATTCCTCTATTATTTCTTCCGCAATTACTTTGTTGTCCGTCATTAGTGTTTATGAAAAAAAAAAAAAAAAAAAAAAAAAAAAAAAAAAGAAGACTACGTTGCTGATTTTGTGTGTGTGTGCCGGTGGTTAAATTGATATCTTTTTTTCATAATCAATAATTAATTCCTTTTTATTCTGGTTTCTTAAACTATTACTCATGTCTACTCGATACCAAAAAGTAAGAAAGAAATACCTGTAGATAACAAAAAATCATTAAAAAAACAAGCTATTTTTTTCTTCATTGTGAATTAGTTATCTTCAACTGAAGAAAACGACCACCATGAGACTCCATCTACTTCCGCAACACAAGAACAACAATTGAATGATTTACAAGATTCGTTTGGAGAGTCCTTTGATGAGGAAGAAGAAGCAACAGTGACCGATAGACTTTTACGAGACGATACTGTTATCCATATGCCACCAACACCTGCAGTACAGCATCAACAGCAGCAACAACAACAACAAAATCGAGGACCACCTGCAGTACTACCTGTTTCTATGGACGGTGTATTTGCAAATATGTCAGCAAAACCAGAAACAGAAAGCAATAAATTGGATGAAACTCCTCCTGTAAATAGATATATTTATAAATTAACAAGGAGTTCAAGGAGTTTAATTTTTATAACTGATAGACATATGAAGAAGCTGCAGCGGACGCAACTCCACCTTATTGGCAAACAACAATTATCGCTCCAGCTGGTATGGGCGATATGATTCTAGTAGAAGGCATGCCAGTTGGAAGCATATTCTCATTCTTTTGGAATCTCCTGAGTATGTTCTCTCTATCACTCTTTTTCACTTATCTTGTCTAACATTACATAAACAGTATCTGCGAGTTTCCAGTTTGTGGGTTTCATGTTGACCTACTTATTACATACATCACACGCATCCAAAGTAAACCTTCAAAATACTATTAACTCACCAATTATACTCATCATTTTTCAATTTTAATAGCAAGGATCTCGGGCAGGTCTTGGCGTATCTTTAGTGCAGACAGGCTTCTATATTCGTAGTCGTAAGTCCTCCTAATAGAGTTACACGAATTCTGAATAATCTTTTTTTTTATTAATTCCTTTAGGTGGTACATTAGAAGATGATGAATATTTCTATAGTGGGAAAGAAACTGATTCCAAAGCTTCAACAAAGGCAGAAGATAGTACAGATGCTGACATCATTGCTTATTTTCTCATGATGTTGGGTTGGTTTATCGTCATTCGTGCTTTAGCGGACTACTTTAGAGCAAAGCAAATGGAGAAAATCATTTGTTCGGAACCTGTAGCAGAGTCCATTGTTTAAACAAAAATATTTATGTAATACCCATTCTTTTTCTCATAAAAAAAAACTCTTGTCTCATTACTATTGATCTGTAAAATTAAGCCTCGTTTGTTTAATATAGACTTTCAATTAAAATATGAAACAGGCACAACCATAAAAAAAACATGGTATGGTGTCATTCATACATACGTAAGCATGTGTCATGCCAACAGACCTTGTCTCTGATTCGACCAGTTTAGCTTGGCAACTATTTTACTTAACAATGGGGCTGAAGTAAAATAAGAAAGATAAAATCAGCCCAAGCATTGAATAATAATAATATTATAAACCAACGGCGTAGTTAACCGTGTCAATTGTACCATATAACGAATGAGGAACTATGTGGCTTCTAACGCACGTTCTGATACCTGCCTAAATCCCTCAAAATTGCCTCACGCTCTGCAATGCCAAGAGTGATGAAAGCTCAAACTGCAGTGACATAATCTATCTGATAAACTCAGATCTAGATACTCGCAAGACATTGGAATTGCGATCGAGTGGATTCAAGTTTTTTGGTATATACCGATATTATTTGCCAACAAAATAACATCACTGCATAGCGTAAAATGATTTGTTGATTATAAATATTATGCGCTTCTTGGAATGCTAACCTCTCGAGTATGCTAAATCCTTATTTAGACGGTAAAAATAGAGTCGAAAAATTGGTAATCGTGTAAGAAGCGTCTTAGCATCTTGTGCATGCTCTGTATAACAGTTAAACTTCACGTTCCTGTCATGCACTGTGCTCATTGCATTTTGTTTGCATCTGAGTGGATAATTTAATATCGTTTGCGTAACACAAACATGATTTGGTAAAAATAGAGTGCGGCTGGTAAATATGCTATTTTATGATTCGGACATCCGTAAGTGAAATGTTAAATTGAAAGCAAACAGCTTAACATATATGTGTATATTATAGTATCTGTCAATTAAGTACTAAAAATGACAAACGTAGAAGTAGGAAGTCTTATATTAGCGTACCTTGTTGGACGTATTTATGACAGCTTTTCCTTAGTCCGCCAGGCATCTATTTTCCTTTTATTACTCAATTGGGAAAAGTATTTTGAGGCTTTAACGACAACCAAATAAGGGTCTTCTTTATCTGTACCTGAAAATATTTATATTATTATATCATGTTTTAAGTTGTTGTATTTCTAGTACGCGTCGTGTAGGAAGGTACCAGGCCTAAAAAGCTATAAATCGTAAGTAAAACTTAGTAGAAGAACCGACTTAAGTTTGTCAAGGGTGACAAAACATTGTTATATATAATATGTTATTGTGATTTATTTCAGAAAAATGAGGGTTTCACAACATGTTTATTACATTATTTTATAATTTGTCCTTCGTTTATCTACTTTTTTTTACAAACCAATAAATTTTGCGACAATTCCAGTTGAAATCTTACCTCAAATATTCCGTCTACTAGAAACAAAATTCGTCTATCAATGTGTATATGTATGCAAGAATTTGAATTAACCAGATCTGGAGGCTTATTACAACCGTTTGAGCTTGAATCAATTCAACATCTACCATGCAAATATGATTTTCAAAAAAACGTCCTGCAGCAACATGATTACTCTAAAAACTGCGCCCATGTTAAAAAAATATACTTGAGGGATCACTAATACGTGACCCCTAGATCAGACTTTTCTCAAAAAGACTTTATTACGCTTTTAGAATCTATGCCAAGCCTGAAATATATGGAATTGGGTATCCTATCCAAATATATATATATCCAACTTATAGCCAGTTCGGAATTGACGCACTGTCTGAACCATGTAGAAGATAATAATTTTGCTGTCCCTAATTCAGATTTCAGCTATTATTTTGCCGCCAAGTACAAAGTTCGCGCCAATTTGCTTCGACTCGTCCTTGATAAATGGCAAGAATATGTATCTATTCGTTCGCATTATGACAGGACTCTAAAAATTTTAACCCATTTTAAAAAAACTGACATTTTCTATCTCTCACTAATCATAGTGACGAAACACTTTCAATGTTTGCCATTCATAAAGCATGTCCGAACTTGGTACAATTTGAAGTCTATAGTACTTGCTACATATTGAATGTTATTACTACTAACCATTTCGACCATAGTAAAACGAACACTACTTTTAAAAGGCTACGTCTCAGCGTACCCACAATACCAGAAAACTACAGCAGATATATTGCACACTGTATTTCCACTCAAATTCATACTATACATCTGACATTTGGAACAAGTTTGAATCCATGGGTTAATGCTGTCGGCTTATCTAATGCTGTTAATCTTACTAAAAGATTAGGTACTGTGGTTGGTACCACACTTGCCTTCAGTGTAAATAGAATGTAAAGCTCTACCAGTCCATCAAACATGACACTTTACTTCCAGCTCCTGAATGACTTTAGGGGGAACAGAGATGTTTATTATGAATTTATGTACCAGGATAAAACCGGCGGTAGTATAGACAATTTAAAACTTTCATATTTGATGAAAGATTCCGATTAGTATCGTCGAAATGACAAATGTCACATTGCCCTTGAATCGCGTTACCAGACACAAGACGCTCCATTATTAGACCAGAAGTTATTAGGGATCTGTCAGTTGATCTTGGAAACCCAAATCCCGAATTTCCAGCGGCCTTTCAAAATATGTAATCCAGAACTGTCCAAACCTCGAAAGTTTTAAGTTTTATGGTCTTTCAAGAAAGGATCTTTATTTACGTACAAGCTTACATTACAATCCGAATTCTTCAAATTGCCCCAATGATTCAATTGATGTAAAAAAAAAAGGCTGACAGTTGCTATTGGCCGTAAAACACTTCCACCGGATAATCTGGGCCAACTTTCTTTTATTTTCCATATATTGGACTTTATATGGGAGCTATGAGAAGAGATATACCACAGGAAAAATATTTGGAGGAAAGAGACGTCTCTGTCTTTAAAAACTCGTAGCTACTCTATCTTGATATTGACGTATGAATGCCTAAACCAATTCATGTTTTGTATACTGATCGAGAAGTATCTTTCGATTTTCAAATACTATATACTTCTAATCACAACATTGATTTAAAAATATCGGAGGAAAGGAAGAGAATCCGCAAAAGCCGGATATTATTTTCTATTATTCGATGTAACAAGATTACAATAATCATAATCTTAATGAATTGTTACCAGTCATCTTTGATTGCAGTGATTGAAAATGGGCAGTTCCGTGATTAACCAAGTATGGGCAATGTTTATAGCGACAGAAATTATATGCACTATAATTCATTTTATGTGGTATAAACATTCAAAACATTTGTGGGTATAATTCTACATCAATAAAAAGAAATAAACCATAAAAGGCTTCATCAAGGCCGTTAAATTTCAAAGCTATTAACTACCGATAAAAGCTTCTCAAGGTTAACATTGCCATTCCCGATGAACTGCTATACTCAAACGATGATGTACCTTTGAAAAAACAAGTACAGTGCACCAATTTACAAGTAGTTGAGTTTTTTTTTTGTATTTTTTTTCTGCATCTCAATGAAGAATATGAAGCATATGATGCGAGTGGCCTTTATTTGATAATGCACCGAACTTTATTGTTTTCGTTGTCCCCTAGCACCTCATTTTGAGGCAATCTTAAAATACCATGAAAAAAAGGAGGGATGGGTCAGTCACGACATCTATCTATTTTTTTTGTATTAGCAGTGATAAACGAATCGTTATTCGTAGAACATCTATGTATGCAGACTCTTTAAAAACCACAAAATATAAGTTAACGGAGATAACAACGGGGATAATAACGGGGAGGGAAGTCGGGAGGGGGGGGGGGGGGGAGGAGCATATCCATTAAAATACGTATTACCGGATTTTTTTTTTCTTTGGATAAAATCACGTTGTACCGACATGTAAAAAAACCTTAATTTCTCGTATGCTTGTTGTGCAGCGGGAGCACTAAAAATATAGGTAGTACACTACTCTTTTAATTATGCATATGGTCTTGAAGTGAAAAAAAAGAACAGTATTTATAGGTTCTATATGGTTGTTCTCATTGTGGGTATTTTGTTTGATCTAAAAGAATAATGGATAAAAATAAGAATAACATAGAATTTTACATGAATTATGCACTGCTGTGAACTCACAGGGCATATAAATTCCATGTTACACTCAAAGAGCGCGTTAATGTTGTGTGCTACAATACACTTTTAGAGTAACCTGGAAGGCTTTAATCCATGTAAACGGTAATAACGACGATAAAATGTGCTAGCATTAAAAAACCAAATCGCTGTAAAGACCAACGTTCATTCACCTAATGATGACAAAGCCAAAAAAAAAGGCTGCAGATTGTTGTTTAAAAAGTTGACGATTCTAGAAAACCTTTTTTTAACGCAAATAAGATACAGATCCAAAAATATTTGCGTGCAACCCGTTTATCTAAAGACACACACACACACACACACACAAAAGAAGGTACATGTGACGCTAAGAGATAGCAGTGTTACTTAGTTTATCGGACAATATCCTATAAAATGTAAACAATTCGCCCAAGGTCATGTTCTCGAAAAAGTTAAATATTAACCTTTTACCTCTTTTTTCTTAATTTAAATCACTCTCCGCTGTCAACAAAGTGTATAATTGAAACTCTACGAGTGATACGAGGTATAAAAGGCTGAGTCAATGGATGCTGAGTTCCGCTTGTAGCTACTAATATGCCAAAATAGAAAAAGAGAAGAGAGACTTGGATCAGGAACAAAAAACCTAATGTTTAGTTTCTCATTTAAACAAGAAAGAATAAACTTTGGTGGATATAGGACTGAAGCCTAAAGTAATGATGCATTTCTCTGAAAAGGTTTCAAGTAGAAATCCAATAATAATGGATCAAAAGCAAATTAATGAATATAAAAACTTGTAACACAACGAGCACAAAAGAACGACGGAGATGAAGTAAGGAAGTAAAGTGATTTGAATGCTGAACACATTTTAATGTACCGATACTCTGGACCAAAGAAAAAAAAAAGGAAATTTAAATAAAAAGTAGCGCCTTAAAAGAAAGGAAGAACGAAGCAAAATAAAACAATCTCTTAGTATGCTTTATACATGCATGGACCTTTGGGATAAATGTAGCCATAATGTTCGGTTGCTCCCTTGATCTATTCCTATAATACAACAAACGAAATAGAGCCATAGTAACATTACAACACGAGTATTCTAATGCCAACAGAAAGGCTAAATACAGCAAGTTAATTTACAAAATAAGGACATGACATCAGTCCTTAATGATCAAAAAGTGCCAGTTGATGTTATACAACCCCGAACTTCCCCACTTTTCATAGTCAGCACACCTCTTCCGATTGAAATGGAATTTTTCTTAATATTCACACAAATATACAATGAAAGCCAAATGTAATGCATTGATCCGTTTATCTAATTTCATGAGCGCTTTTTTTTTTAGTTATATCATGTATAAATGATTGAAAAAATCAATGAGCTCTTCAATAATTCTTCAATCATACCTTATTGAAGCTTTTTGTTGTGTATTTCATTTCCTTTGTCAGAACGCAAGATAAATTTTAGAGAATTCAGCAAACATCTGTACTGTGAGCCATCACTCACGAAGTCATTAACAGACATATTCCTCCAAAGTCCGCATACGTGCGATATAGTAATGAGCGATATCTTGGAATTATGTCAAATCATTTTTTATCCAAAGTTCCTATGAGGAACGCCTTTCTACACAAGACTTTCTTTAAAAAAAACGCGATTACTGTAAGTCATTCTTCTAAAAAAAACATGTGGCTTACCTAGTTCCCATAAAGAAACATCATGTTTATAACAGTGAAACGAACTTTAATCCCATCATCCAGGTAGTACGTAAACAGTGCTTACTTAGCACAGGCACACGTTTTTTTAAAGCACTTTTTATTAGATGATAATAGTGATATATTTAGGCAGCATATGGATTGCTGAGAAGACGAAAAAACAGCCAAAAAAAAAAATACAATAAAAAAATTATGGTTTGATAGAAAATAGGTTATTTATCCCAGAATTTGTTTATTTTTTAACTTGTGAATTCAAAATGTGATCATTTATTTAATCACATTTAGCATAAAAAAAATGCAGTTCTTTATATTGATTAATTAACATATTATCTAATACATATATCCGTGAGTAATTTTTTACTGACTTCCAGATACCCAGATATAGAACAATTCCGGCCATTAATAGAATAATAAGTGAAATACACGACATAAACAACAAAAACACTGGTCCTGATAACATTATTATTTTTGGAAAAATATTATTCTACATTTGAATTTTTTTTTTTTTCACATAACGTTAGAGATGCTCTTAGAGCTTAGCGGGGTTCTGCAAAATACAAAAATCTGCATTATTTGTTTTCAATTTCTCATACAACATGCTTTATTTAGATGTAAAAACAACATAATGATGGCTTTTACATGTAAACTAACAGCCTCATCATAGCTAATAATTTTTGCAGATCAATCTAGGCATGATTCACGAAAGCACTGTTGAAACCTGGCTTTCGAGAAAACCAAACCCCGGGTACATTATCACTGAATTCTATAATCACTGATATGATTGGTTGAATTGGACAAGCTGTGAACAAGAAAACCGCTTCAATTGAGCCTTTTCACAGATCAATGATGCATGATTCTCCGTAAAGGAACTTTTGTCTATCGATTTAACTTTTGACCAGAATGCACTGTCCAAGAGCCGCTTTCATTAATCAGGATTAAGCTATCCGATCAGAGTTTTCAAATTGAGAGTGAGGAACGCTGTACAACTGTCAATTTAGGTTAAAAAGTAGTGGAGCGTAAAATAAAAAGAGTGGAATTATCGTGCTTTTAAACAACAAATTCTCAGAGAAGTTGCTTGTCGAATCAGTACCTTACAATGTAAACGATGTCGAAAACAAGTACATTAAGATTGCAACAAAAAATAAGGACATGGTGGATGAGGAAAGACATGTGCATGTTATAAATCAATGAGGGAATCTTTACACCGACCTTAAAAAGAAACCCAGCTTGGACCAGTTGCTAAAAAAGTAGTAGGAATAGTCGAAGCTAATAAGAAAATAATTACAGGCACGCTTGAAAGATAGAAACCAAATAGCTCACTTCCTGGAAAGATATCTCAGAGCAATTGATGACGTTTGGAGTTGCAGGATTTTAAGCCGGTTGCGAAAAGAAAAAAAAAAGAGACTCTTAGTGGAACAAAAACTGCGCGGAAGAGATTGAAAATGAAGTTATTGTAAAACATGTCGAACAGGATGAGGAGGGACCTTAATTTAGTATTAAGGGACACCAACGGACATTCGTAAATAAGGGTAATCAAAGATGCTACATAATTGACGGCCTTAACCTCCAAAACTAAAGTTTTAATCCGATCCCTTGAATGTGTATCACTTTCTGAAATTGGTTATAAAACTCCACAAACGGGCCGAAAACTCGATCTCACATATAAATTGCTTCTCTCTCTCTCTTTTTTTTTTATTTTTTATTTTTCATTTTCATCCTTTCTTTTTGTAATCAAAATAATAATAATATATACATAAAATGATTGCAAGTAGAAACATGAATTACACTACGCTAGATGATGTGAAGGATATACCCTCTTCTATTGTTTGGACACAGACGATGGAATCAATTACACTGCAAATCGATATAGTTAGTTGATAAACAAGACAGAGAATAGAAAGAAGAAAGACTAATGCTATTTTAGAATCATGTTAGGGTGTCGCTTACAGAGAAATACTTGAAGTTATCTACAAAGACTGATACGATTACTTTACCGTTATTTCAGCGAGTGCACATTGAGCAGGTATATATAAAGAAAAGATGAAAGAGGAATGTGATACTAAACAGTAAATTTAGTGCGATGTGGAGCAAATGAGCCTGACGAACAACAGCATTATCTTGACGTTAGAAAAAGATAGCTTTGATTTATGGCCTCATCTATTAATGCAACAGACAGACGAAGAGATAGAAAGCCAATTATTAGAGTCAAACTTCCTATTAGAGATTCAGTACAAACAAGACACAGTAGCGATATACGATACATTAGACTTTGACAGTGTAATTAATGGACAGGGAGAGAAGACTGGTCTTGAATAAATAAAATAAAATAAAAAATAAAAGAAGGGTAACGGACTTTTACGGACCGATTGACCTATTATGGTAAATGTGATCTATTTTTATAATGCATTTTATTATGTTTTCCACTCTGGAGCATTAAAATTTAAACCCTTCTTTTTTTTTGGTATAATTGAGGATGGTAATGGTGTAGGAGGTATTTGTTGAGGGGAATTAACTCGAGTAGCAGGAGGAGAGACCAAGGATGAAGGGTTCGGTATCTTTACTCTGCAATGTATGATTTCGCCATTCATGTTGGTCGTATCAAATATTAAATATCCATCTTCTTCTTTATATGAACAATCTTCTTCTTCTTCTTTGGCTGGATGTGTCAGTTCTTCAATGCGCTTTTTATACATGGCTTCCTTTTCTTCAAATTCAGCTTGGATGGAATGGTACTTGTTTAATAATTGTTGATGCTTGTTGTAGAGTTCTATATACTGTGAATTGTTTTTAATCATCTCATCATGTGTTTCATGCATTATGGGCTGTTGATCTGGTTTCATTGGTGGCTTTTGATGCAGTAAAATTGGTCTGTTGTTATCTTGTTCTTCTAGTGCCTGAAGCCGTTGCTCAAACCGTTTCTTGGTTACCTCTAACGATAATAGTCTGAGATCTAGATTGTCATATTTCTCTTGTCTTGCCCATAGTGTGTCTAAATGGTTGATAGGTTGTTTCTGTTATATAGTTAGTTAGTGGCTATATTAGATGCTTGTGAATAGATACAAACATAGGGAGGGTAAGAAAGGGTCTGTGGTAAAGACAGAGTGGTTATAGTTGTACGTTGATCATCATCCTCCTCTTCTTCCTCTTCTTCTTCTTCCTCCATAACTGAACAAGTAGAAGAAGACGCCTTTTCTATAAATCGAACGATGGCAGGGTCAACAAATGATATAGAAGGTAAGGTGTGTCTTCTTTTATTCGTGCTAAACAGAAATATAAGACGTTTTCCTCTCTCTCTCTCTCTTTTTTTTTTTTAAAAAAAAGGAAATATAACAACTCACCTGGTATAATCCATGCTATCTTTTTATGAAAAAGAAGAAAGAAATAAAAAAAAAGGAAAAAACAAACATACATGTATTCGGTTTATTTGAACCATAAAGGTATTTTATTAACACCCCCCTTCTTTTTTTTTCCCTGAGTACAATCCCATTTTAAAGCCCAATCAGAATTACCCCTCTTTCTCTCTCTATTCTCTCTCTCTCTCTCTCTTTTTCTCTCGATTTAATATTTTCCCTTACTTTTTTTTTTGAACCTAACCTTTTTCATCATAATAATAATTTACAATGTCCATGTTCCTTTCCAAATTCCTGTCTGGAAGGAATGTGGCCAAGTCAAAGCTTGAATTATTAACAGAGGCTTGGACTAATATTCAAAAGTATTACGAAACTGCAGCTGGTATAGTGTTTTTATTACGAGGTTTTTTTTAAATTGTGATAAAAAAAAAACCATAAGGAAAGACAGTAATAGAAAACAACTAATCTTGCATTTCTCCCTTTCTCCTAATAGATCCTCTTAAAGATGCTGTTGATCTCACACCTATTCCGCACAGTTTACAAAACATTGTAAAGTTGATTCAAGCCGAAGAAGTCGAACATCATCGAGCTAGTGGAAGTTTAGAAACAGGACCTTGTTTAGAATATCTGTTACAGAAGCGCGTTCTAGAGGAATTAGTGGAATTTGCCAAAGTCGATGTAAATATATTGTTGATGGCCCTTTTTACTTTTAAATTGAACACAAGTTTTATTTTTTGTAGACACCGTACGGTATGAGAGTTCATTGTCTTCGATTTTTCTGTAGTCTGGTCACAAATGTTCATGCTCAATTGTTACCAGAGCGTGCGGTTCATGTTCCGCTCCAAAAATTGATTACCTCTTGTCATCGACTGATAGCGCATCATTACGAACAATTAGCCACAGAAGCTGAACTCTGTCCCGAAGAAAGAACCGCAGCCATCTCCGAATTATCATTGGAACTTGTGAAATTAATGCATGGTGTCTTTTCACATTTTAAAGGAGCCAATGCAGCTCTTATGGACTTGTTTTTCGAAAGGGGTTGGTGTAGAGCCCTGGGTGAAAACGTCTGGAGATCATCCAAGGACGGCAAGAATTTACATAAACGTAGAGAGAGTTTTGAAGAGAAAATAGCTTGGAATATTTTCTTAACTGTAAGTCTACATGATGGTCTTCGGCATTTTTTTTTTTTTTTTTGTTAATTGTCTATATTAGCCTCGATTTGATATGTTTACATACTTAATTGACTACATGAATATCCCAGGTGAAACAGGTGAGATTGCAAGAGAAGCCATTCTTTTTGCATTACGTTTATTAGAGGACGATCCCGAATACGTCTGTTACGTGGTCGAATACTCTGGTCTATGTGAAGTCATGGCTGAACGTCTCTCACTGTTTTTCGCCTGCTTGCCTAAAAACGCCGGTGCTTTCAACATCTCCAGCAACAATCGTGTCAGTGCGGTCCGTACCTCACGTCGTAGCATCACATTTTCTGTACCCGCCATGATCACCAACAACAGTTTGATGATCACCGTCAATGCGCAAAACAGCTTTAAAAAGAAGCGTAGAAAGCGTAGTCCCTTTGACGTTAATTTTGTTCGTACCTTGGAATCCATTGGAGAAAAAGAACGTGTGGTGGATGAGTTTTATAGTTTTTGGGAGTATCTTAACGACGTTGCACGCGTGGCTGAAAAGAGATTGATGACCGCTCTAATGGCTCAGTTGACCACCATCTTTTGGCACCCGACAGTATGTGCTGCATTAAGTTCGCCGTCGGCTGAGACTGCTACGTCCGCTACCGCTTACACAACAGAGATGATCAGATCCTTGACAGATCAACGTTTATTGCACGTCTTTTTGGTTGTGCTCTTGGGTGAAGATGGTGGTATTGGAAAAGACATTGAACCTGAAGTGAAAACATACATACCGATACAAGACCTGATTGATGATGACCGTGATGATGAAACCATGTCTGCTCAAACAGGCAGTGACGATGGAATGAAAGAAAAGGAACCAGAATCAGACGAAGATTGGACTTTACGGTTACTTTTAATCAATCGTATCGATGCTGATAATCATGAATTATCATTGGCCACCTTACGTTTATTTGACACCATCATGGAAACCTATAATCAATTCGCTATTTATAATTTGGTGTTGCGTAATTATCTTGATATCTCACCTGACGGTGAATATATTGAAGACGATGCAAGAGATGTGACAGATACGTCTTCTTTGGGTTCCAAAGTGGTGGATAATGCAAGTATTGTGACAGTAGAAGAACCTGCTAAAGTTGATGATCTTGCTATTGGTGATAATGCATCTACCACAACGAGCAATACTACAGCCAAAAAGGAACACAAGACGGAAAAAGTAAGATGGCTTGTTGAAAGGTAAGAAAAAAAAAAGTAGTACATAATACATGATTTAGATCCCTTCCTTTAACCCAAAAATAACATAAATAGAGTGCTGTCATTATTACCATTGGAGGACGAATTGGAAAGAATGAAATCACCCCCACTATCATCTGTCATTCCAACTGACTCTTTTGTATCCACTGTGCATGGACAATCGGATGACTTGGGTAACCCCTATGCAGTAGTACCCGGTAATAGTTATGATGATTACTTTCATGAAGCGCAAGAAAGGTTCCATTATGCTCTTTTAGCAAAGAACTTTTGGCAAACTTCTTATCCTCCAGTCAAGACACGTAAAGATTTTGAACGTGAAGCAGAAAACCGTAAAGGACGTCCGAGTCGACCTCCACACGAAAATGACGGAGCTAGTATCACCAGCACCACAACCACCAATACCAGTAAAAAGCCCGAGGCATTTGAAGGTCTTTTCCTCAGTCGAATCTTTGATCAGTTTTATAAAATGTTGGAGTTACCCATGGAACAGAACTTATTGGTCACAAGTATCTTGCAGAAAATTGCAGGTGTGGTGGACAAACGCATGGACGGGGTCATTTGTGACTGGCGTGCTGTACGTGTGGGCATTGATGGTGCCTTATATGGTGGTGTATGGGCGTTACCCAGTGCCAAGAGTAATCGACGCAGTTTGTATGCTTTATTAGAACAAGTTACGTTTGAAGCTTTAAAAAGAGCTCAATTAGTACCTAATTTTGAAACAAGAATTTCGATTGCCAAGAAACGAGGTATTTCACCGGGTGGAGGTGGTAATGGTGTGGGTTTGCCTCAACCACAAAGTAGTTTATCACTAAATACCGATCATCGAGCACGAAGAGAAAGTAGTCCTGCTATTCAACAAACAGTTTCACCGCGTACAAGTGATCATCTTTCCAGAAATCATCAGAACCTATCCAAGATTGTATTTAATAAGGGATCCACATCGACATTAATGCCATCTTCACCGCGTAGCCCCTCTACGCCTGCAGCAACTAAATCAGCAGGTCTTTTACCTTTAAGGATTACACGCGATATGGGATTAGGTGGAAGTGGAGGAACTGGATCACCTGGCAATCCCAACTCACCTTCTTCAACCTTCTTTCAAAACTCGCAACGTTCAAATGCAACACCTGTCACCATGACCAATCCCTTTGCTAAATTATCCAATTTTGTACAATCTTACATTGTATTGCAGGAATTCTGTAAAGAATTAGCGGCAGTGATACTTGTACGACATGCAACAAATTATAACGAAATTGGGTTTGTGCGATACCAGGAGCAACGTGAGATGATGTTGATTGATCCTGGGCCACCGAGTGGATTCAATGGTCATCAACAAGTGATGCATGGAGGCAATAACCCACAGGATTGGTTACTAGATGAGACCAACGATGATGACGAGGAAGAAATCAAGTATAAACAAAAGAACTTTGATAAATGGAAGAATAGAATTTCAGTCGTGTCAACTTTAGCCGATTGGAGAAGTGTGAGAAGTTTAGATACCATTGATGAAGCCATCACAGCAAGAGTACCTTCTAGAACCACAGGATCCACAGAAGCTGTTAAAGGTTAATTATCAACCCCCCAATCCTTCTCTCTCTCTCTCCCTTTCTCTCCCCTTCTCCCTTAATATTTTTGTTATCTTATTATTCCTTACTTCTTATATATATCTTTTCTTCACCTCCCACGCGCGCGCCTCTTTCTTTTTCTTTTTTTTTTTTTTTTTTTTTCTTCAAACTATTCTAGTTTATTTCTAATAAAAAATCACACGAAAAAGTCTAGTCTAATATACATACAATTATTGAGAAATGGCAGTTGAAATAAGCACACCAGCAGCTACACCGACATTTAAACTATCTACAGCACCATGGAATTTATCTTTACAAGCATTAGGAATACTGACAAATGATTGACATCCATTCTTGACATTGGTACGAAGTCCAGTTCCTTCATTACCCAACACTAAAATCACGGGTTTCTCGCTTGTGTTTTCACGGAATTGAGTCAGGTTGATGGATGGATTGGCGTCACCTGCGGCTCCAATAATTTGCCAGCCATTTTCGTTGGATTCCTTCAAGAATTTGACAAGGTTGGGTGTTGAATAGATATCCATCATTTCAATTGCTCCAGAACTGACTTTGGAGACAGCAGGACTGAGAGGAGCACTGTTTTTACTACAGAGTAAGACACCATCTACACCAAAGAAATGCGCTGTTCTTAAAATAGAGCCCAAATTCTAATATATACTCATGAAAAATTGCTTCTCACAGGTGGGCATACATTCACTCTTTATAAAAAAACATACCTGAGGATCTTGCACTTCATCTAAAGCGATCCAGAAAGGCATGCGGTTGGACTTTTGGAAGGAAATAGGAGCAACTTCCTTTTGACTGCTACTTTCACGATCTTGTTCACTTCCTCTTTTGTTAATTCTTGGTAATGCTTCATATTCGTTTTCTTTTAAAGTTGATAATGCACTGATCTCGACAGGTTCTCTTGGTGAAGCCTTCAACACTACACCCTTTGTTTCAATGCTGTCCAATTAGCCTTTTTTTTTTTTTTATTTCTATTCCCATTAGACAATGTTCCTGTTTTACCTGGTGGGTTTTATTTTCTGTCAAATTATTCAGTCTTCCTTTATCGACCGCCACTGTGTAGATACTAGCAGCCTTTGTTAATTGAAGGATCTCGTCCATTAAAGAGGCATCCTTCTTCTGTGTCGTCTTTTTCTCGTCGGATTCAAGAATATAAACGGTGTCCAAGACAGATCGTTTTTTCGATTGAAGAGCAGAAAGGACACTGGATAAACCATACACATGGTCCCAACCTGAAGGTGTAGGTGTATAATTGCCGCTTTTCACCTTGTTGTGGAATGGCTTACGATAACCTGTGTTGGTAAAGTTACGAATGAATAAGCGAGATCGAAGTGCAGACATTAGTTTTAGTTTGAGGAAAGAAAGGTTTTTTTTTTATATTGTGAAGCGGGTGGAAGAGCGGTCTTAAAAAAAAAGAGCAACCGTCGCATAAAATAAATGTCACTTTTTGTACGAGGGTTCCAATACATTCTGCTTTTCATGTAATTCTTTGTATACGATAACCATGGTATTTAATCACTATTTTACCTAATCCTGCGATGCGCAACTATAAAGTCAACTCGTTAACAAGCATGTATTATATAGTTTAAAAGCATGAGCTTAATCCATGAAAACGATATGGAAAGGCATTTTTACCGAGACAAAAATAAATAAATAATCAGGGCCGTATGATTGCTCTCACTTTTATAAGCTCAATTATGGTCAGCTATAAAGAATTTAAGAGCTATTATTTTGTTGCTTGCAGTAAAGTTTCGCTTACACATACATGGGACAGCTTTTTATATATTTGTCTTATGGGCTTTTCTCTAAATATGCAGATGTAAGTAGGAATAAAAATGATAGTAAGAATATGATGAAATGTGATTAAAAGCAACATCATTACCAATATTGCTGTCTCAACATTTTTTTTAGCGTGATTCCTGAGAAATTCGAGAGATAAAACAACGAATTAAGAATAAAATAAAGAAATTTGACGAAGTAAAATTATCAAACTGCAAAAATAAACTAAAGTCTTCATTATACAATAAATTGGGTTCCTTATATACATATTCAGGGCTGGCTGAATATCAATCATTAAAGTGAAACCTGTCAAATATACAACGGGCGTATTATCAATTAAAGGTCGAGCATCTCATGGTACCTTCGAGAATCTTGTTATTGACGAGCGATCATATCATTGGATTGTATTATCTGGAATAAATGTATGACTATTGTTTTCTATATGTTGATGAGTAATCAATGCGTAGTAAATAGAGTGTAATAGCATGTATTTGATTTAAAGAGTAATGCAATAATGATTTATAGAAAGGTTATCAAATAAGAAAGAAGGAATTGATGATAGAGTTATATCTGTATATAAGCTCGATCACAACAATTCCACTAGGCATCAGCATATAAGACGAGGTTACTCAGTATCAAACCATTTAGGGAAATGATTCAATATACCTATGTCTACTCATTACAGAAACAATCTGGTCGTAGACGATTCATCGCAAGGTTGCTGTTTCTTCTGCATCTATTTTGATCAATTAAAATAGGTTCTTCTCTGCGGTAGGTTGATGCTAATATTTTTGAATAATTTTATTGTATTGAATTCGTCCTTGGAGTGACGGATAATGGTTTCTCAGTATCTTAAAAGTGATCATAATAATGAAAGAGGGAGAAAAAAAAATTGACTATAAAAAGTTCCGAAGAAAAAGCTGGCCGAGAAAATGTACTGCTTAAAGACGATGGTTATGGTACAAACAAACAGTAGGAGTCCATTGTAAGCAGAACAGAAGAACAAAGTGAAACCAACTCTTTACCTTTTTAGTATTGTAATTTTGTAAAACTGGAATACTTTGGTCATTTTTTTTTGCGATATTTTTAAAAGACTAAATAAAATTGAACTGCAACCAGTTTCTTCTTATTTTTTGTGCATGTTTGAAGACCTCTACAACAACTATCAATGAGATACGACAAGATTATAACTTGATGGGATCTCTGTTCACTCTGTTACTGTGGGTTTAGGAAGACGGACATTTCGTGAGGCGAAATATATATTGAATAAATAATTACACTAGATTAAGCACGCAGACAACAAATGAGTTGAGTGTCTAAATGATAGTTAAAGATGTGGTGATCTGCTATTTTGTTGCTACATTAAATAAATACATATCTATGACATCAATACATTAAAAATAAAGGAATCAATTACCCAATATAGATAGTTAGTACTATCATATCACAAGGTTACAAGAACACAGTGACTAAGGCTAACTAAAGATATGGAAGTACAATGTGTCTAAGATGACAGTAATTTCAAATGTAACATATTTACAATGTAAGCAGTTAAAGGTAACAGGATACACACTGGGAAAATGATAACAACTCCAAAAATACAATAAAAATAGTGGCACAGCAGATAGTCTTTTTTATATAAATACTTGTTCATTTTATTTCATAATAAAGACAATCTTATAAACAGTCTCAAATTACTTATATACTGCCTTATAATATTACTTACCTATAAACACAACAAAAGAATCTGATGTGGTATTTGACAAAATAGTTACAATAAAAAAGTAATGAAATGAAATTATATTTTTATTGGAGGTAAAAAATAGACTAAAAGAACTCTGCTGCTATGAAATAATTGATCCTTTTTATATTGCACAATTCTCCTGAGTTTTAATGATAAGTCAACCTTTCTGGTTTTGAAATAGATCTGTACTTTGTTTCCCGCCTTAGGTTAAATGAATACTACTCGTTAGAATTGTTTCCAGTTAACGTTGTCCCGTATCAGTGGATCGGGAGCATGAGTGTTCTAATAAATCTTTAGTATTACGAGACACTTATTTATCAGATCATGCAACGGTTACTGTAAAAGATACATACTTGTTTGTCAAGTGTAATTGGCAATAGAACATTGTTGAGGATATTATAGATATAATAATAAAGTTAATTGTCACATCACCTTAGGGATGGATAATAAATATAAAAGTTAATCATGAATCACGCATTACCCCACTTGTTCTCATCCTACCGTTGGAGTCTGTACACAGGGCACATCACTGTGGCGAGTAAATATTTATTCTGCAAAAGCAATACAATCGAATGGGCCTGGACTATAGAATATTAATAGATCCTGAGCACAAATATTACTCTTGTCATTTGATGTTATAACTGTTGATCCCTCTGACTAATATTTATATACTCAGTGTCGTATTTGACGCCTAATTCCACGAATATAATTACTCTTATCTTGTCACTCAATTATAATACATATAACCTATGTATTATAAGTACCATATTGCGAATACATTTCTATTGGTACGACACAGTACCAGCTCCCTCATATGTCAAACTGAGATCAGATTTCATAATCGTTCCTGGATTGGTCGAGTAGCTGCCGAATCTTCTAGTTTCTCATAAATTTATTTTAGTAATCCAATCAAGGACCCTGTCATTGAATGGATAAACTATAATGCTCTAGAAGTGCCGGATATGGGTCAACTAGCTCCTTGTATATAACAATAAGCTATGTTTCATATGTAACTGATTTCTAAATCTAATTCTACCATTTCCCAGTTTGCGGGTAAATAGTCAATTCGATCTGCGCAGGAAAAATCTTGAAGTAATAATTGAATATAAAAAGGACCTCTATTTTTATCATGACAAACTCTCCAACTTATAATAAAGGATTATAGAGTCTCATTTCTTTACTTGCTTTATTTTCCCAATTACTTTTCCCTTTTTATTTCTCAATTATCACACTCAGTATGGAAGGGCTAAATTTGAAGACATGTTGATTATTTACTATCACCAGATTATCACATCATGATCCAATAAGGCGCTTACTATTCTCCCTAGAACTATCCCAGTTCTTTATATAAATATCCATAGTTTTTTCTCATAGACAAGAAATACATTTTGGAATACAATTTAATACGTTTTTAATTATAATTTTTCGTCCATAATAAAGTGGTATCCAAGTACTAACAGTACCACTTTTGGTTTATTTTAATTTTGTTCTTCATGCAAAACAAACATAATAGTTGATCATTTATTTATTATCTTTGTAATGAATAAATTACGATCCCAAACATAAATGTCTTATCGATATTTGTATATTTGGTTGTAGAAGCTAAGTATCCATTAATTCATACACTATTTCTTTATACTCTTTATAAGCAGTATAATTATATCAATATATAAGTAAATGAACCATTTATATTAATAGCTGTTCTATTCTCTCTCTGGGTAGCTAATCCATTGAGAGAACTATTAATATTAAGTTTCTCTTTCTTATAATTCTTGATTTGATCTGAGAAGACTCTCTTCTCGATCGGTGATATCGTAACTCAGTGGTATAGCATTCTGTTTCCAACTGTCATTCGTATATCGTATTTAGGCCAATCATGCAATTTTAATATAGAAGTATGTACTCGTAGTAGGATAAGTTGTATAACAGTATACATGCGTATGCTGGTATGCAACATCAAAGGTTGTTTTAATTTCATAGTTTATTTATTTAAACGATTTGCTTAATTATTCTTAAGTGAATCATACTCAAATACGGCACCTGACTTCATTTCTATTATGTCAATTAAGACCATGAGCAGAGAAAGCAAAATTGATATTATATTAAAACTCTTCTTCTTATTGCTACAGTAAATCTTTACTAGGCATACCAGTCATTCATCTGGAATTTTTGAAAAACACATTCTCCCTAAATCAAGCTTTTTGGTGCCATGTCTGGTATCTATAGTAGGATCATCCCTTATATACGCATTGGTATTCTCTTATCACGGACATTAGACTGTATTTCCTTAGCTAAGCCACATTTTAGGATATTTAAAAAAGGAAATAGATTTAGCGATTTCATTGGTTCCCGCTAGTCCGATTCTGAGCTATAAATACTTACTTTTCTTGCGCAATTTTTAGAATCCCCCTCTTCTTTCTCAGGTATACCCGATATTCATATTATGTTTGGCACTCACTTGGTCTTTTTTTTTTCTTTACGTAGGTCTAAAATAATGCTACCTACAATTGCTTTTTCGATTACCCCACGAAAGTAATTTGCATATGCATTTATATTAAAAGTGAAGTCTAGCGGATAGTCGTGATTTCACAATTTGCGGCTATCTTTAAAAGCTTCACGACAAACAACCTTAAAATAAATAAAAAATCTTTTTATATAAAAAATACTTAAATAAAGTCTTAAAATTGAATTTATTATGTTGAAAGGGAAAAGAATAATGGAGAAGGACCAGGGTTGAACACATCGTTTGGTGTTTTTGAGATGCCCTTAAAAACCATCATGAGTTTGGAAACCAAATGCCATAACCAGACGCGTCATCTCCTAGTGCTTAACCTTTTTCTTTATTCTAACCAAAAATAGAGATTAGCTTCATGCCGAATTGAAAGACAAAAAACGCGTATAGCTTTTGTCCATCTCATGACCATCTTTTTTTTTTTTTTTTTTTTTTTTACTCTTTCATAATTACTACTTGCACCTGTAGGCAAATGAAGATTCTAGAATTCACCTCCTATCAGCAGGATAAATCTACCCACGTCTACAACTTTGCTCAGAAAGTATAGCCATGCATTTTTCAAAATCAAAAACTTATGAATAAAAGGTATCTCAAACTCTACCAAAATTAACAGAAACAGCAATATATAGATGTCTTTTGTAAAAAAAAAAAAAAAAAAAAAAAAAAAAAAAAAAAAAAAAAAAAAAATTAATTGCGTTAATAAGTGGTATTTGAGCTACAAGCTCTTTTTACTGCCCGACATCTATCGGACATACTTTTTACAAGCTTATGACACAGGTCACTTCCCAACAACTTCAATTCCTGATGAAGTGCAATTTTCAATTAATTAAGATTCTGAAGCTGGGCTCTTCTTTTAGCAATCCTCTGTTCCAGGAGCCGCCAAATGTTCTCAATAAAATTCAAATCTGGACCTTGAGCGGGCCATCGTTCAAAGTCTGCGATCCCAGTCTTCTCTTTCCACCACCTCGTATATCCTTCCTGTTTGGCATGGGGCACCGTCTTCTTGAAAAATATAATCATTGTCATGTTCCTCTATCAATGTTTCAAGCCAAGAGACATACTTTTGACGTCAACAATTGACATGTTTCTCTTGATCGACAGACCCTTTAAGTGACATCAAATGGCCCAATCCAACTGCCCAAAAACATCCCCATAACATAACTGATCCCTTGCCAAATGTGAATGATGGTAAAAACAATCTATCTACATACCTTTCTCTCTTCTTTCTGAAAACTCTCGCACCACTGTTGTTACGCCTGAGTACAAAAAGCGACTCATCGGACCAGATTACCTTCTTCCAGTCATCTAATGTCCATTTCGTCTTGTCATTGACCCATTCTCTTCGCGGTTTTTTTATTTCTAAGACTTGAAAAACGGTTTTGCGAAGTGCATTCCTCAAAGTCTTCAGGCTGATGGGATCGGCAGCCTTCCCAAGATTTTGCAGATGAAGACTCAAAGGTCTAAAGGAGTCCCTTTGAACTAAAAGCGCAAGTGATGCTCAGCTCTTACTGTCAGCTTTACTGGTCTTTCTGAACGAAGTTGGACAGTTCGTGATCCCTTCAGTTCTGTTGTGATCGAGCTTTATATATTCATGTATGCTTGATCTACACAGCATATTTTTATCCATTACGATAATTTTATAAACACTTCTTTTAATGTTGCATATTAAATATTCACAATTGACTTAACAAACTAGCACGATATTCATCAAGCTAAATACAAGTACAAAAGTATACATTTATTATACAACTATTCTAGAAAGACATTATTAATATATTGTACAAAGACGATAAATTTTTGAATGTACTTTGATGACTTTTAAATGTACGCGTCAAGTGGCACTACAGACCTATTACAGAAACGTGTACCACCCTTTCTTCTAGTATATGATTCTTATTGGATTACTTACTTTCAAGATATGGCGTGTCAGTCATAAACTTGCCTGTCATCTAGCCCTGTCTAAGAAGGAGGTCGAATTCAATATGTATATAAAGGACCCCTAAATTTTATGTTAATAAAAGTTCAGTTAATTTTTGCAATCTGGTTAATCTTACTTTGTCGTGAGCGAGGCTATATACTTAATATATGACTCTATCTACACTTCTTAAATCTTCCATTTGATAATCCTAAATATAATTCTTATTGATACTGTTATATTAAATACTGATCATTTACTTTATGTACAGGCTTGATCTCATATCATCCTTCATACAAGTATAAGACATACATTTAAATAATAACATTGATATGAACACATATGAAAGTTACATCAGCCACATTGAGGTGCCACAGCTATCTGAATTAAGAACTACATTTTCCCCTGAATATTGTGCTGCAAGACATACACAGTTTAAGAATGAATGTTATTGTTATTGTTATTGACATCTCATTATGGCCTTTCTATATGGGATCATTACATCCGAGTATTATCTGGATGAATCTACCCACTACTGTCATCAGCCCATCTGTGATCAATGTCTGAAATAATGTGTATATAAAGACCCCCTTTTATTTGTTTAATAAAGCCTTAGTTAATTTTTGCAAGTTTGATAATTTTTCTTGTTTTTATTTTTATAAATCTACACCGATTTCCACATACTTGTCATTTTTCCAAAATTATCACCGATTTATCACACTACCTATTTTTTACCAGATTCAATCTCCCAGATGTTTTGATATAAAAAACGTCCTCCCTTTTGCGATGACCTTCTTGTGATGTTTTGAGATAATAAAATTAGATAAAAACAGAAGAAAAAGAATTAAAGAAATGAGTCTCTGTTAATCCTTTATTAAAGTTATGGAGAGAAGGTCATCGCAAAAGGGAGGACGCTTTTTATATCAAAACATCTGGGAGATTGAATCTGGTAAAGAATAGGTAGTGGCTTGTTTCTATCTTCTGAAACATGGCAATTAGAATTATATGGTCTCAAGTCAATCAATATTTTATCTTATTGATTGGCCCGAATTATTAAGTGAAAATTTCTCATTTACTGATACTTCAGTAACAGATTAAAGAGAGTCATAACAAGCAATAATAAATAATTCCAAATATATAATCTGTAACAAGATTATACTGGTAATATGAGAGTACCACTCGAATATTATAATTTAACCATATTGAAGGTCATTTTATACGATCTTTATTGGAGGAAATACGACACTTCTCTCCATAACTTTAATAAAGGATTAACAGAGACTCATTTCTTTAATTCTTTTTTCTTTTGTTTTTTATCTAATTTTATTATCTCAAAACATCACAAGGCTCTGTTAGTTATGTCAGTAAGTGGCATGGTAAATTGCTTAATAAAGTTTGAAAGAAGAGTTGAACAAAGAAAGACTAGGTTTATTTATATTTCTGGCTTAAAATGGAAGTGTTCAATAATTTCTGCGCGGAGTTGTAATATTATGACATCACTGTGGGAAAAAATATATGAATATATTAGAAATTATTGTATTTTGGTTTGAAAATATTGGAATTTTGAAAATTCCAATAATTGTTGTATTCGAGGAGTATATACACCACAGTATTGGTGTACTCCGACGATTGAAGTAATTTATCATCTTTCATATTTTGACATATGTCAGCTGCTCATCTAAAATTCACGTAGCACTATGGGGAATTTCCCTGTTATGGACTGTTATTTTTATTATCCTTGATGCACCTTGCGGGATATTGACAGCTTGGATGATTTATAATGAAATCTACCCACGATGGTAGTTTTCCCGTTTACAGTTATGGTTATGTTCAATGTGTATAAAAGAACTCTTTATTTTTATATTTAATAAAAACAAGTTATTTTGCAATCCGGTTAATAATTAGTCTTATAGATTATTTTCTTTGTTGTATTTTTCATTTTTTTTAACCCTTTGTTGAAACTTAATTATTATTTTAAAAATAATGTCCAATTTACTTTCTACTGGTACTTCTGCTGGTGTTTCCTCTGGTGCCTTTGGTGATGTTCCGGACTCCCGTAGTGACTATAATGCTAAGGTCAGCCCTGAGCAAGTTTTTATTGGTCCTCAATAACAAGTCTCTGATATGGAAGATATTCAATCTTCATTTGATGATGTGGTATCAATCGATCATTCCGAACGTTCTATTGTCAACACCCCTATCATTTCCAGACCGGATGTATCTCCTACTGTCCCTGTAGTTGCCAATGATTTGGATCTGAAAACAAGTATCGACCTTGACAAAGCGGAAGTCCACTCTTTAAGCCTATATGTTGCAGCAGACCCGGAAAGTGATTTGTCTGTCAATAACAAACACATTCGTTTAAACAAGAGAATTGGTGACATTGTGTTATTAAAGAAGGCGGCGAAGGCTTTACAAGTAGAACTACAAGAACTGACCAAAGCTGATGAACCTACTATGAAGATAGAAGGTCTTAAAAAATCTCATGTTGTACCAAGAAATCTACCCGCTTTTTGTTGGAAAGGACATAACAATATCCCTGGTGTTCATGTTCTTGAAGATATTAATACATGTATTAGAAATTTTATGGATGTCATGAATTGTCATGGACTAGACTTGAACTCTAATTATCTGCGTGTTATCCCTGCTTGCTTATCTGGTACTACTAGAACTTGGTTTGAAGAATATCTTTCTGACTTTCGGTGCAAAGGACTTGGTGATCCTACTTGGAATAATTTTGCGGTTGCATTCAAGAACGCTACGGTTTAAATGCCCAGGAAGAACGTGTTTGGGATGGAGATAAAATGTAAATTAAGGTAACAAAAGAAAATTCTGTTAGAACTTTGTATATCTTTTATTTCGAGAAAATTTAGATTCGGGAATTCTACTAGCAAAAACTACAGGTATTTATACTAAATGATTAGATGGCTTTCGGATAATATATGTGACGCGTTAGAGGAATATGATATAATGTTATACGTAATGTCTGTTTAAATAAATATGTTATGAAGTAATTCCTGCCTTACAAAGTAAAGACAAAAGTACGTGAGGATCTAAATTCATCTCCGCAGGTGACATTACGTAAATGCCAAAGAGAAAGTTTAGTGCGTGTAATATTCAGTAACCGAATATTCCGCCTATGGGATTGTACTATAATTTTATGGTATTATAATATTTTACTCGTCACAAGGCAAATCACCTTGTGCACAGACACCAACAGTTCTGATGATAACAAATGGGGCGAAGTGTGAGCCATGAATATTTATACATGATCATCCATTATTATGTAAAATGTGATGATTCTTTTATTATAATCTATGACATCCTCAACAGAACGAAATAATTGTGCCAGGGAACTTAATGCTATTGTAATGGGGCGTAATGAGTCTTTAGAAAACTTTATTGATAGGTTTAACAGCCTTCGTCGTAGAGCGGTAGATCAAGTATTACCCGAGTCTTTACTAGCCGAGAACTTTTTATGTGCTTTACCTGACGTGTTATCAAGCCAAGTTTCTATCGCTCACTTTACCCGAGTACAAGCAATTGAATTTAGACATTCTTGCTGGATTAGCGCGAAAATTATCGAATTGTTTTTTTAAAGACAAGAAATCTGTACCATTTTTGGAATCTGCTCCCCGTGCCCCTAAACGTCCTGTTACAAGTATCAACCAAGATGATGAATTCCATCAATCTTCTAGATTGTCTAGACATGCCAGCGTTACTGAAGCCATTATTCCATCGTATCCTACGCATACGCGTCCTGTTGTTCCTATTCGACAAGCGAAGGCAAGAATTGATAAATACTGTACGTTCCGTCGGGCTCATACCCACAAGACTTCAGAGTGTAGAGCTGCCAATGCTAATAACAATACTTTACCTGATCATGCACCTACTGATAAAGAGTGCTATACTTGTGGAGTCTTTGGTTGGTCTCGTAGTCATATATGTAACACATCAAGAAGAAACGATACTACCGGTGATGAATCACCTCGCGACTATCATCTGGGCGCCATGAATTTCGGTCCTGGTCGAGCCAATAATAACTATATTGCAGATGCTGTTGCCACCGCTGAGTATGCTACTTCTTTGGGTACATCCCAATCTTGGGAAAACAATGCTAATATTATGAGAACAAGTAGTGTGTCCGAGCCATCTTTATCTACTGATACAGATACAGCAGATGATGCTGCACGAGAGATTGCCCGCCGTGCCCAACAATGTAAGTTTCACACTGAATTTAGTCTGCCTCCAGATAACAAATCTAACATGATTATTATTCCTGTTATTATTCAAAACATTAGAACATACGCCATCATTGACACTGGTGCTACCTTCAGTATGATTTTTCCCTCCTTCGCTTCTTTCTTGGGTGACTCCGTTTCTATCCATCCTTCTTTGGGAACAGTACAATTGGGACATGTTGATAATGTTTGTAATAGACAAGGAAATGTTTTAATAAATTTATTTTACAATAACAAAACTTTTGCTCATACATTTGAAATTTTTGATTTCTATAAAACTGATAATAACAAGCATATTCCAGCCTTAATCGGTGTGGATTTATTTCATCAATTACGAATTGGGTTAACAGGTTTAGCTTTATCACATTTTGATTTACAAAATAATAATCCCTTTCCTCCTTCGCCTGCTGATCCTATTTCTAAACCTAACAGTAGTCCTTACGGAGCTAAAGTTGAACGGGATAGCATGATGAAAGTTCTTAATCCGTTGCTGATGACTAATTCTAAAATCGACATGAAAAGTACATACTGTAATTTACCAGGAGCAGTTATAAATTTAAATACAAAACCTGGTTGTATTTCATTCAAAAAACAATATCCATTACCATTTGCTTATGAAGCTGCTGTTCGAAAGCAAATTAGTACCAGGTTGAATGAAGGTGTTATTGACGTTTCCACGTCTCACACAGGTTTTAATGCTCCATTACTTGTTGTGGGTCGTAAAAATTCTGATGGAATTTTTACATTTGATAAAATCCGATTAGTCACTGATGTTCGCAATCTTAGAGTGCATCAGGACTTCAATATGCCAAAAAAAAAATTTTAAGCAGAGAGAAACGTTAAAACTGGACCACCACACTTTCCTCATAATTAAAGTCCAATATTTCTGGACAGACATCATTTTAATCATGATTAAAATGAGAATATGAAGTTTTTATTCTAAAAAAAAAAGTGTGTCCGGGATTTTTACAACTGGATTTTAGGTGTGGGGGGGGGGGAATAATTGTCACAAGGAGGTTCAAAATTTTAAATTTTTCTTTTCCGACCAATAGTATTGTCCCGCGTATAGTATTTGCCGCCTTCGGACCATGAAATGCTTACTGCCTGTACTCTCAATTTGAGTACCCGCATGCGTAGTAACGCAGCCTATTAAATCAAAGTCTGAGGACATTTACTGTCAACCCTGTAAGACACAAAAAGGATAAAACAAACTTTATGTACTAAGTAGAAACGCTTCATATTTAAAAGATATAATTTAGAGTATTTTGAAAATAGATCCAACTAGTTCTTTATTTTAATTTATGTATTTGAGGGGTCGTATTCGTTAGATAAAGTACACAGTGCCACAACCCGTTATATCAGAGTCTGAGATCAAATATGATCAACACTGTAAGGCACAAAAAGGATAAAACAAACTTTATGTACTAAGTAGAAACACTTCATATTCAAAAGATATAGTTAAGACTATTTTGAAAATAGATCCAACTAGCTGTTTATTTTAATTTATGTATTTGAAGGGTCGTATTCGTTAGATAAAGTACACAGTGCCACAACCCGTTATATCAGAGTCTGAGATCAAATATGATCAACACTGTAAGGCACAAAAAGAATAAAACAAACTTTATGTACTAAGTACAAACACTTCATATTCAAAAGATATAGTTTAGAGTATTTGGAAAATAGATCCAACTAGCTGTTTAATTTAATTTATGTATTTGAAAGGTCATATTCATTAGATAAAGTACTCAGTGCCATAACCTGCTAAATTTAAACTGAGATCAAATATGGTGAAGTGTAAAACACAAAAAAGATGTATGAAATCGGATATGCATTAAGTAAGAACGTCTACAACCTGGAAACTTTGTTTACTTCAGTAATATTAGATATAACGTTCTTTAAAACTAAAAACGCATCAAAAGGGTTACTGTTTTTGAGCGTATTACTTCACGGGAGCTTTAAAAATGACAAATAGAATTGTGAATTTAAAACTAAGTTTGGGTTTATTTTTGTACCTTGTAATTATTCTTTTAAAATTACTTTTATAAATTTACATATCTATATCAATATTCATTATGGCTAAATCAAGAAAAAGAATCACCATTGGAAGAAAAGCTAAATTCATTCAAATGGAAAAAATTGCTGCTGCTGAGTACATTGCTAATGAAGCAATTGCCAAAGAGGCTGAAATCGCTGACATGCCTCGACCAGAAGAAGTTTACGCAGAAGCTTTCCCCATTTCCTGGAGCAACGCAACCGAAAAAACCGCGGAACAGAAGTTTAAGCGTAAACTTCTCCCTACAAGAGAGACGCTCAGTAGAAAGAGATCTGCTGCAGCCAAGGCAGCTGTAGGCTGTCATTCGATTAATGATTTTTTCCCCGTGGTTCAACAGGTTCCTACACCACCTCAAGTAGAGAAGAAGGAGAAACCCAGAAGACCCGACGAAGCAAGTTTGGTAAAGATTCGCGAGTCTTTGCCCCTTTTGGAATCGAAAATCCGTATCTCTGGTAACACCACCAGCGACCAACACCACAACGGTGTTAAACAATTTCTGAAGTACGTGGTTGTAAAGCATGTTATGTTGCAGCTATTAGACGGTAAAACTTTTGTGGAAGCAACGAAGCTTGCGGTAAACATGCACTGGATCCAAGCTTCGAAATCCTATCGTCATCGTGCTGACAGAAAGTGGTTTGAAGCCTGGTTAAACACTGGTGTTATTCCATGTCATCAGCAAGGAAAACATGCGAAGAGAAAATCAATTCTCAGCGGTCCTGATGTGAAGGAAAGATGCATCACCTGGCTCAGGATTCAAGACCCTGTCCGTAGAAGTATCCCTGCTCTTCGTCAGCATATACGACAAGAAGTGCTCCCTGAGTTACTTGAGTTGGAGAATGATGTCGAGGCCGGTGCCGATGTCATTTCCTCTCAGCCAGAGCATCCATTGTCGAACGTTGCTCTGGCAACCTACCTGAATGTCGTGATCGAGGCTATATACTTAATATATGACTCTATCTACACTTCTTAAATCTTCCATTTGATAATTCTAAATATAATTCTTATTGATACTGTTATATTAAATACTGATCATTTACTTTATGTACAGGCTTGATCTCATATCATCCTTCATACAAGTATAAGACATACATTTAAATAATAACATTGATATGAACACATATGAAGGTTACATCAGCCACATTGAGGTGCCACAGCTATGTGAATTAAGAACTACATTTTCCCCTGAATATTGTGCTACAAGACATACACAGTTTAAGAATGAATGTTATTGTTATTGTTATTGACATCTCATTATGGCCTTTCTATATGGGATCATTACATCCGAGTATTATCTGGATGAATCTACCCACGACCGTCATCAGCCCATCTGTGATCAATGTCTGAAATAATGTGTATATAAAGACCCCCTTTTATTTGTTTAATAAAGCCTTAGTTAATTTTTGCAAGTTTGATAATTTTCTTGTTTTTATTTTATAAATCTACACCGATTTCCACACTGAAGGCTTGGGGTTTTGATTATAAAACAGGTAAATACAATATGTAAAAACTTAGCATATATACTAATGCTTTAGCTTGATTATATTTTTGGGCATATGTGTGTAGGAAAGGATCGAACATACTTTGATGGCCATGAGCGGGATGATGTTGTCAGATATCGAATTAAGTGGGCCCAACAAATGATGGAATGGCATAAGCGTATGGAAACCTATCCCTTGGATAATGAGAATGCTGATCCAGTTCAACCTAGCCTAAAGGATAATGAAAAAAAGATGGTTTTAGTTACTCACGACGAATCAATCTTTTATTCAAATGATTGTAAAGTCACTCGTTGGTGTGAGAAGAACGAAACCATGATTCTTCCTAAAGGTCAAGGAAGATCTATTATGATCAGTTCATTCGTGTGTCCCTGCCACGGAACAATGAGAGGTACCATCAATGGTGTCAATTTGATATCAAGAGTCATCTTCTTCCCTGGCAACAGTAACGGCGATGGTTATTGGACAAACAGAGATCTGACGTGTCAATTATATGATGTAATTCATCTTTTCAATGAATTACATCCTAATTGTGTTGGTATCTTTGCCTTTGACCAGAGCTCGAACCATAAAGCCTTTGCGGACGATGCTCTTGTTGCCTCGAGGATGACTTCCGGGACTAGCAAAGTAAAGTCTTCTACCCTGTATAGGTTTCGGGATACCACTTATGTAGATAGAAACGGCATCGTCAAGCCTCAAAGTATGTATACCATGGAATCTACGAACGTGGATGCCGCCATGAAGGAGATAAACAGACAGCGTGCCAAAGGACAGGCGTTTGATACCAATGCACTCGTCGAAAAGTACCAACACGCACAAGTAAATTTAATTATATAACATAAATATATAAAGAACTGACATCTTTATTATCATTAACTCTGTAGAAACGTGAGAAGTTCAAGTGAACTCTTCGTTTGTTGAGAGAACGTGGCCTGCTCGGCAGAAATGAGCCTTTGAGAAGGGTTTGTGTGAGAGGTACTCCACACGACCCTCAGGCTAAACCTGGCAGCTGTGCCGAATACTTGTTGTCACAACAACCTGATTTCAAGGCCCAGAAGAATATGCTGGAGACCCAAACATCCAAGGCTGGTCACCTTTTCACCCTATACCCTAAGTACCATTGTGAGTGCAATTGGATTGAAAGACATTGGGGTGCAGCTAAACGATTTGCACGAATAGAATGTGATTACTCGTTTGACACTCTGAAGTCAAGAATCGAAGAGTTTCTTGACCATGATGAGGCTGTTTTCGGTCCTAAAATCAATAGACGATATTATAATCGTTCTTATAGATATATTGACGCTTACAGCAAGGGTAACGATGTCATGGAAGCTGAAGATATTATCAGTAAGTTTTCCAAAGAATATCGATCCCACAGACGTGCTGTTTAGTTGCTCCTTGATGACTTTCAATCTAAAAAAAAAAAAAAAAAAAAAAAATACAAAAACAATTTAGACTCCCACCAAATAAAATATATTTCCCTGAAAAATTTTCTTAAAAAAAAAAAATTTCTCCCCACATTAAAAAAATCTGGCTATAAAAAAATTCCCTTTTATATTACTTGTACTAGTCGGAGATGAATGCTCAAAAATGTCACAGATTACGTTTTGGCACATTACAATGAAGATGCACTCTATGACTAAACAAAACCGGACCAAAGTGGAGACCATTAAAGGCCGTAGCTACAAAGCTGGACGTTGTGGCGCCAACACAAGATACTACGAGAAGAAGAAGGCTGACAAGACTTTGTTAAATCAAGAATCAGTATTAACAGCTACGCAAATCCGCAACAAGAAGTACTATCAAAAGAAGATGGTGGATGAAGCAGTCGTAACCACGCGTGTTAAAATACTCAGAACACTTTTTGTTGATTTTGAGGAGGAGCTTGCGAAGTTACCAGGTGGCAAACCTCAAATGATCAGGGATGCTCGCAAGTATCAGATGACCAATTATTATGATAATATGGCAGAACTGTACAGCTTTGTCAGAAGCGACACAAATTTTCCTGACACTTATTACAGTCGCCACGCAATCCTTACAATTGTTTTGGATTTTCTTCACCTCGTTTTTCCTTCGAACATCAAGAAGAATTATAATCAAGATCAAGTCATGACAATGTTTCTCGGCCTTGATAAGGATGATTTACCTGAGGACATGGTCTTAGGTGAAGTAGACGACAGTTTTGAGGATAAAATAAAAGCTTTCTTATTTCAAAAGAAAAACGAGGGGAACAGCATGTAGATTTTTAATGATTAAAGCAACCATAGAGCTTCTGCACCGGTGTTTTGAAGCCAATGACTACGTATATTCAAGCGTTAGATCAAACGCCATCTATTTTCTAAGTCTTTTGGATGAGCCTTTGGTCCCAAAGTAAACTTTGTTGTATACACAAATATCCCGAAGTGTATACAAGCACTATTCTGTGAGTTACTTTAGCGAAGAAACTCGAAATAGCTATTTTGTGTCACCTCACGTACACGCGGTTTACACGCAACATCTGCATTAACAAAGGATAAAAACAACTTATAAATAATACCACAGCTTACAATGCACGCATGGTCCACACATGCTTACTGCAATATGTTCACATTATAAATCATTCTCTCAGCCTGCTCTATTAATTGACAAGTACCGAAAGACTTTGTCAATTCCTATATAAACCATCCTCTTATTCAATAATAAAACGATATTCAATTTACCCAGTCTCACAATTACCTTTTTCTTTATCTTATAAACTGTCTATCTTGTTTGATAGAACAAACTTAAATGTCCAATAAAAACTATACATATGCTATTTTTTGGGTTTTTTTTTTTTTTTTTTTTTTTTTTTTTTTTTTTTTTTTTTTTTGCTAAGTCAAATTCAACTTAATCTGTAAGATTTTTTGACTTTCAGTCAGTCCCCCACTTAAATTTTAAGATTTTTCGATTCTCAGTCAGCCTCTTTATTTTCAAGCCAAAAATCACCCACTTAATCTGTAAGATTTTTCGATTCTCAGTCAGCTCCACAGCCAAAAAAAAATTCGGGTGTTTTTTCTCCACTTAATTTTTAAGATTTAAAGATTCTTGCTGTAGTTTTTGTGGCTTGGTGAAAGTATTCGGGTATTTAATGGCGTGCCCCTTTAAGCACATGTCATACTTATCTGTTTGAACAGGGCAAAATACAGCAAGTTCTTTCTTGCTCGATCGAAATTGGGTTAAGAGCGTTTTGTGACCTGTCAAAATTAGTTGTGAGCTAAATGTCATAATGCGCTTTATTCTAAACCCTTACCAACGCCAATTTCTTCCAAATAGCAATTAACCCATTTTATGATGCGTTCTTTGCCATTTTTAGATGCGCTCGACTTGGCAAGCAACGATTCAAACTCTATGCTTTTCTTTTCAGTATAGCTTAGGTTAGCGAGTTTGTCGTGATCGACAGTGATGTCATCAGGAACCCTAGCGGAGGTTTTAAAATTTTTAAGATTTAGGAACAGGTTATTATTGTAACCACCATCTTTGTCTCTGATTCATTCTTCTTGAGGCTCTTCCAACTCTTCAAGAGCGGCAGCTCCAAAATCTTCAGACTGTGCAGTGAAGTCTTCAGCAGGAATGTCGTTGTCTGCTGCTTAATTAGAGTAAGAAAAGTTTAAAACAATTTAATAATTTTTAAGTACCTTCATACACAAATTCCATAGCATCTCCTTCTGATTCAACGACGCTAACTGCACGAGCGGAAATTTCCATTGGAGAAACAACATTTCGTTCTTTAGAGCACATCAGATTAGTACTTTTAAATCGTTGCAATGAAGCTAAACTCAGTCACCTTGTTCTCTTCTCAGGTTCAATTGAACTTTTTTTTGTTTTTTATGGTCTTTTAAATGCTTCTGCAAAGACCTTGGAGTAAGGTATCGTGGGCAAAAACTGCATTTAAGTTTCTGTACCATTCTATGTTATTTATGTTTTTTATAGAACTGATTGATGAGTAAGAAAATAGAGGTGGTATTGAGCTCATGTTTCGGGCCGGATTTTTGGTGACTATTGTTTATTAAAATTATTCGAAACTTACTTTTCCTGTTTCTTCACCTTTCTCTCTAAACGTTACAATGCCTCCCAGACAAGAAGGAATAACACCATCAAACGAAGAGTTATCCAATGCTTTAAATCAAGTACAAACTCGTATGACAGAAAATCATAATAACGTGATGGACCGACTCGATCGTATGGATGCAGCGATTGCTGACCTGACGAATCTTGTCCGTCAACATGTGGAAAGAGCGACTGCCGTCGAAACGACACAATCATTGCGTGTCTATCAAGGTGAAACAATTGGCAATCGTATACCTAGACCTTCCAATCTCAACGGAAAGACCGGGTTTTTCCAATACTTCCAAGCCCACTTATCTGAGAATGATCAGTACAATGAGTTGTACCTGTGTGTTAACCGTGCAGCTCTGGTAAGTGTACAAAGTATGCGAAATGCACACGGGGAACTGGAATTCGTTGAATGGGGAGGGCTTGGTCATGACTATAAGCTGGAAATGGCTGAGAACACGTTTGAGATTGCATTGCAAGAATACAACGAGTTGGATGTTATTAGACGATGTCACGATCGTTGACCTTGTCTGATCATTCTACAGACAAAATGGACACAAATGTCCGCCTACCAGAGACGACAAAGATAATAAATGAGTAATTAATGTGATAATTGAAAAACGTATTAACTAAGTCAACTTTTCTATACTTAAAAGGGATCTTCGACGTGCCAGACTAATGTCACAATAGCTTTGACAGCCTCATCTTCATCGAAACCATTCGTAGTGCCTCTTTCGGTGCTTTTTTTTTCTTTAATTTCTTTAATAAAATCTATTTATAACTACCAATATACAGTATTATTATACAGTATTATTATACAATATTATGTAATATTATTATACGTTATTATTATACGTTATTATTATACGTTATTATTATACGATATTATTATACAATATTATTATACAATATTTTTCACACAGTATTCACACAACTTTATTGCTCAACCAAAATATATTAATCTTGTTGGAAAATATTGTCCAATAAAAAATGTTTGAAAAATGCATTTTCCAACAATAAGGCTGCACAATAATTTCCAATAATTTTCACATACTTTTTCTTACCGTGCAAAAAAATCATAAAATTTGTAATCAAATGATATGTAAATACTCGTAGCAGACCTAGAGAATACCCCTCAGTTTTTTTTTCTTGTACTAATTTTTCAAATAAAATTGATCCTAGATTCGGCTCGCTGGCTCTTTAATTTTTTATAGAGTAGATTTTGGATTAAATCGTTCCAAGAGTGTTCTCAGACATTTCTGAGCATTCATTACCAGAGTATGGCCCTTCGGTCACCATTAGTTCTATTTTTAGAACTGTAACGTTATGAGATAATAATGTGATGACCTAGCAAGGCGATAGCCATATTAGAGCTAACAAAGGTTTATCCATGCTGACACCATTTGTGATATAAGCTTAACAATAAATGACATAGTAAGAACTTCAAGGATATTACATCACAAGTCTAATTTAGTGCATCTGAGAAATACTTAAAATTTGGTTTTAAACAAAGAGAGTTAAGAAGACTTAACATATCTTAGAACAAGAATCAATCAGTGACTATGTAATAATCGTATACATTTTTGGTTAATCAATGATAACTTCAGGATACCACTAGAGATATGAACACAGCATACAGTCTTTTATATACACAGCGGCGCACCAAATGGTAAAATGTTGCTAAAACACACCAAAAATACACCATCATTGATTGCTTAAATGGCCGATTTAAGCAATCAATGATGGTGCATTTTGTGTAAATTCACAATGAATGATTGTTAAAACTCACATTGAGTAGTTGTGCGTTTTCACATCCAATGGTAGTTTTTTACCGTTATACGCTGTTTATTTACACATGTATGTGGGCCTTTTACCAATCGTACATTGCATTATTATTCTTACAAATGCATCCTTTTTACAAATACACACTTGATATTCAACACTAGTTTATTAATTGTTCACATTAATATGGTGCTTCCATAGGAAATATGGTTTAAAAAAGACGTTTAAATTTTGTTTTAAAAATGATTTATTTGTATTTATTTGTATTTATTTTGAGATTTTAAACTGGAAGCGATTTTAAGTATACCACTCGTTATCTTTACTATCTATATGGAATTATCCTGGTAGAGATATTTACTTACATACTAAGAACCTGCTAAGGAAGTAACAGATTTGCCTGACAGACTTACATGTATACTGGTAAAGAGCCACGAAGTTCTTAGAAACAACCTAGAATAAACAGCCTATGATAAAATATAGTCTGGAAAAAAAGAGCCTAAAACAAAAAAAAAGAGACTAAAATAATAATAAAAAGCCTAAAAAAAAAAAAAAGAGACTAAAATATAAAAAAACAGCCTAAAAACAATTAGTCTTATATTCTTTATGATACCTAGTTATTGACAGTGAAGTGCTCAGCATCTATAAAACATACAAATTAGAAAGAGACGTATTGGACATCATAAGCAACTTCTATTACCTTTGATATATCATGATTTAAACAATCTCTGGTCAACACCTAAAATGTCTTGACCGGATAAGATGAGTACATACACTCGCTACTATTGCAAATCTGTTTGATTTAACAACTGTAACTTACCTTACTGTAATGTATTATATGAATTGAAATATAAAATTATTATTCCATTGAAAGTGAAAAGTGAGAGAAAGTGAAAGAAAGAGAAGTAAAGAGACAAAAAAAACTGGTTTATTAATGTCATCTAATATTTTAAAGGGCGAACTATTCTTCTTCTCTTCTTCTTTAGTGTGGGTTTCGCGACAGCCATGTGATTTTCTCCGCCACTATTTTCTTCTCCATCACGGCTCGCCTGCTCCAACTCATTATCAGAGGGGATTTCCTCTTCATCGTTGGATAAAGATCCAGACTGTTGGATTAATGTGCGCTAAATAAAAGTAATTAGATTTATAATAAGACTTATGCTACTATATTGGCAGTTACCTTTTTACCCAAACTGTTGTGAGCTGCATTAGCCAACAGCCTCTCTGCGCCCCATCGATTTTGGCATGTATCCAGCTCGATCTTACTTTTTCTTGCCAACTTCTCCAAGAGTACAATGTACTTTAACCTTAAGTCAGTACTCAACATACCCCAGGTACAGTCTACCAAGTCAGGATTCTTTAAAACCTCAAACTTCAATTCTTGAAAACAG